AACACAAACAATTAAGAGATACTCCAGTACTCCTATACTCTACATGTTACAGTCACCTTAATTACACTCTTAATTATCCTTGCTCTTAGCTGCTAGTCAGGTCCATCCAGACCTAGCCTAGGCACTGCACGGTACTACGTGTTGATCATCGGAACTCACACCGTGTTTACGCAGTAGTTGCAAACTTTTTTTTCAAACTTATAACTTTTCCATCACATTAAAAACTTTTCTACACACATAAATTTCCAACTTTTCCATCACATCGTTCTGATTTCAACCAAACTTCTAATTTTAGGTGGTGTTTAGGAAGGAGGGACTAAACTTTAGTCCATCTCACAAAAAACATAAGTTTCTATGGGAGGGACTAAAATTTTTGTGAGAGAGACTAAAGTTTAGTCCCTCCTTCCTAAACACCACCTTAGAGCAGGTACAATAGCAGGCTAAAAGCCAGCTGCAAACATATTTTAAGGAGATAAATGAGGAGAGAGAAGGGCAGCGGGTTACATATTTGTAGCCAGCTGTAGCACGGACTCCAAGACGCAGCGTGTGTATGGCATGTGGGACCATGTATTAATAGTGTAGTATGTAACTATTATATAAATGAGCTATTAGGTTAACTATAGATGAATTGGAGCTAGTAGTTGGCTATATACTAGTATTAAACTTGCTCTTAATGTGAACTAAACACATCCTTGGTGGCAATGGCATCCTCGACTCGACTCGACTCGACTGGACGTGCTGTATGCACATGTAGTAGTAGTACTGTACTAGTAGTCATAAAATAAAATGCACCATCGATCACATCAGATTACTCCCGTCTCCCGACCAACGTACGCAGATGCATGGTGCAGATCCAGAAGAGATGGGCGGTGGAAGACCGTGTCTGTTTTGTGGCAATGGCAATGTCCCAGGGGAGGGAGCTGCTGTTGCATGTAAACTCTGTTCGATCAGATTCAGAGGGTATCAGCTGCCTCGTGTTCAGTTGAGCGTTGACTCTGATAACCCAGGTCACCACGTCTCTGCCTGACACCAACTCATCGCCACATCTGTTTTTCTCTGCAAATACTGTACTACTCCCTCCTTTTTTTAATTAATCATCGTAAAATAGAATTTAAAATTTTTCAAATTAATCATCATATAACCATATGAACATAGTTTTCATCGTAATACAATTAATACAGCATGAGAGAATACATGTGTGCATACTAAGGTGCAATTGGCATATTGTTTTAATCAATACATGTATTATGGTAGAATGTGTGCATGATATCTTAATTGATGTGATTTAAATTATCTTTAGTCTTGGTGCATAAACATAAAGTTTTATATATGATGATCAATTTGTAAAGAAGAGAGTACTACTATTCCTACGTAGTGAGAAGGCTAGTAGACAGCAAAAATACATTGATTGACGTGGAAGGGAGTGATATATCATATGTTAATATATTTTCTTATTTTTTCGTAACCATTTGAGTGGTATGCAAATAACGAGGGAATATCCCCTCGAGAATCAAAATAGTTTCCCGACGTAGAGCCCCGTTCTTTCTAGCTGTTTAATTGAGTGAGCTAGTTACCATTTTCCCGTGAGCATATTTCTCAAATTACTAAATAGTATGTTTCGTGTAAAAGAAATTTGTATAGAAATATTTTACACTATGCCAGGTCTGGTTATAACTTCTGACGGGCTCAACGTTCATCCTTGATGTGTTTGATCTTGGTCAAAGATGAGTGGTTAGTGATGACTTCACTTATCTCTAACGGATCAATGCCCGTTAGAGGGCGACCTTTTGTCGGACACAAATGACGCCCCGTCACATGTGATGGCCTACCTGTGATGAGCCTCGGCTGATGTCCTCACCTATTACGACCTTTATATGGACTCGCCAAAGGTAAGGCCATTTGTGATAAGCATTTCGGCTCGTCAAATGTGGACCGATATAGTATAGTGTTAAAATGTTCAAACAAATTTATTTTTCAAAATTTTGTAATATTTAATACTCGATTAATCATACGGTAATGGCTTATCTAATTTCGCACGCTGCTAAAAATGTAAGCCAACCAGCTAGTTACTATGGAACTCAGCCATCCGTAATAGAAGGATAGAAACCAAAGAGTGTTCCAACACAAGGATCTTTTGGCGATAGCCCTAGTGGCGAGAACCAAGGAGGAGGTCAAAACTTGGGCCCTAACAAAAGCGAAACGACAGCTCATCCTTTAACTTGTGCGACATTTTTTTACTCGGCACAATATTTAATAAAATCGGCACACTCTAAATACCGGTTTGTTAAAAAATAAAAGAGATGGAAGCGCGTGTTATATATGCGTGGCGGCTCAGTGTCTCCCGATCAACCTACGCAGTGCGTAATGCGCGCTGTGTCTCACACCACTGGGACGAGAGAGTTTGGTGGTCTCGTCGATTGATCGTGTGCTTTATTTAATTTTTGGCAAACAATTGCCCTTTACTTGTCCATATCTCCGGCTGTGTTCCCATCCAATGAACCATGCAGATCGAGAAATGCAATCCAACAGCGCAGCGACCACATAAATACTGTTGCCGTTTAAGAGCAAATTTAATAGTATAGTCCAATACTAGCTCCAATTTATCTATAGCTACTATACCATTAATATATAGTCCCACCTGTCATACACACATTGTGCCTTTGAGTCCGTGCTGTAGCTGGTTATAAATATGTAGCACACTGCTTTTCTCTCTCATCTTGTATCTCATTAATAGTCTCCTATTGTACATGCTCTTACTGCTACTACCAAGTCGATCGGCCTGGACTGGTTTTTAATTTGCATGCACGCGACGCCTTGTACCCGTGACTCTCGACACTCTCACCACTTGACCAATGTAAAATTGCAAATTCCATCTCCGGTATAACCTGCAACATGGATTATATATACACGACTCGATGCATGCATTTTAAACTTTTTCATGGCACTCCGTTCGATCTATAGATTCGTGTTCCATTACATATATGCTATTGGTATGATGCATATCGGTTCTCACGTATAAGTACAATTGGCTGATTGACACACATAGATTTTACTCTGAATTCGGAAACGATTGATGAAACTCTTGCAACTTGACGTAAAGCAACTCTCCCGTGAGTGAGCGCAACGCAAGAATATTCGTTCCATCATCATGCCTCCCTCATCTGCTCACCATCGCTATCAACAACAGGATGCATATATGCATGCACGTACGTTTGTTGACTGGATCTCATCGATCGTGAATACTCGAGCTAAAATACTTTACATGTCTTTATTCCAGATTGCTTTCCTCCTTCAGTTGATGCAATTAATTATGTATTAATGTACTCTATTATGTACTTCCCCAGTTCCAAAACAAGTTCATTTCTCATACATTCCGTACATATCAATACAAAACCTAAGAACTAGAATACCCTACTTTATCAAATAATGCAAATATTCCCCACATTATTTACTCTAGATACAATTATTTTTTTACTTTCACAAACTCCGATGTAATAATTACTTAAAAAATAATTTTGTTTTACAATAACTGAAAGGAGCTTAAAATGAACTGAACTTATTATAAGACGGATGGAGTAGTAACTTCTAGCGTTAAAATATTATCTTAGATTATAACAATTTATTCAACAACTTTATCATCTCAACCGGTCACAACTATTTTCTATTTAATTTTACATATATTTTTAATCAATGTGTAAAAATTCATAAACTATTATTATATTTTGGAATAGATGGGCACTGTACGAAAGACAGCGCGTATTCGTACAAGACAAACCACCTGACCATCCATCCAATCATGAGACATGTACTGCAGGCACCATGGCCCATGCAATGCATGCCCTATGGGGCGCTATCTGCACTGTGCCCCAATCTCGAGGCACCTAGTACCTGCCAAGGCAAAGCACACGACGAGCAAGCCAAGCAGCAAGCAAACATCAAACATTTCTCTCGCTCTTGTAGCCTGATCCCCTATTTTACACCAATGTTTGGCGCCAACCGATGTAGGAGAAGCTAGTGGTAGATCACAAATGGAGTACCTTTGGAATCCAACAGCTCGAGCAGCTGGCACACAGTATCTACCATCGAGCCCATCGTCGAACTTGCAATCCCATTACCCATCCACGAAATGTTCGAAGTCCGATCCGATTACTTTACACTTAGATTAAGTTAGCAACAAGTACGTGTCGCCCAAACAGGTCGAGGTCCTGCGTGTTTCATGGAGAAAAGTTTCCAGCTAGTGCCCAACTTGCTATACTAGCTTCTTTGGTAGGCTTTCAGTTGGGGGCCGCCGATTAAGAAATAACCTCAACGAATTCCATACTCGACGAAATTAAATCTGGCCTGTTTAGCCCCCTTTGATTCAAAGAAAATTCATAGGAATTTTAGAGAATTTTATTCCTATAGGAATTTTTCCTATATAGCCATTTGAATCAAAGGAATGGATCTTATGGAATCCTATGGATTGCCTAATGCCATGCAAGTTTTGGAGGAATTCTAACATGAGGTAAAACCTCTTGGAAACTTTCCTTTGAGTCTTTATCTCTCCTCTAATTCCTGTGTTTTTCCTGCGGTCCAATCAAACGACCATTCCTGTGTTTTTCCTGTGTTTTGCAATCCTCTGTTTTACACTTACATTCCTATCAAAATCCCGCGTTTTTCCTATTCCTATGTTTTCTCATTCCTGCGATTCAAAGGGGCCCTTAGTATGCAAACAATCATACAAATCAGTCCATTTCTTACCGGATCCAAAAAAGAAGACATACGTTCTGAAATGATGCTGTCATTTGTTTTCAAATTCGACATCCAAAAGGTCCAACTCCAAACGCCCAAACTGGACATGCTTTGAAAACGAAAGGTACAATCCGATTGAAATATCAGGATCAGATTGTACCTGAGAGTGGCAACGCAGAGTCACCAGCGTAAATCATGAGAGAGAGTTTTAGCATATCAAACTAAAAACCAGCTCTCATAATTTTGCCCTTTGCTGTACCACCATCTCGTGATAAAATATGCGATGACCAAAGTTTTCATCTTGTAAACTCGCTAGGCAAATTAATTAACCGTTTACAGGGTTCATTGCAGGACAGAGTTGTACAGATAAAAGGGCACTAGTTAAGTTGACACTCTTTCTATTCAGTTAAGTGAGTAGTTTTCACATATGCACATTTAACATACATCATGCAGAAGCACAAGCCTTCTTCAGAGCATCAAAGACACCCTGGAGAGTCGCATCTTGCACCAGCACAACCTTTTCCCTCGATTTTGAGCCAGAACCAATAGAAACTTCTCTTTTCTTAACTCCAAGTACCTGAATATGTCAAGTAGGTTCTCAAAATTCTGATGTGATCCATAGAAATACAACATCAAATGTTTAAGCACTAACCCAGCTAAAAAAATGTTTAAGCACTGGAAACATCTGTTCTAATTATCATTATCCGATATATGTATCAACGTCTCTGATGAAATGTACAATAACTCTTTTGATTAGAGAACCTATCTCCAGAGTCCAGACTAAGCACACATTCTCAACCAAGTCTCGAGAATAACAGACTCCGTTTTTTATCTCATATTTTGGAGAATGAATAAGATCGAAATTATCTGAACAGATATAATGCAAGGATCTGTAGAGCAAAAACAATATAAACCATGGTGCAACCGTGCAAGGAGCATGGACGGTAATGATCTGCTCAGGATGATAATAATTGACACGATGAAGTGGGTTAATGATGTATCAGGAATATCTCTTATACTACTGCAATAACAGGTGGAAAACAATGTTATTGGAAACCAAATCTGAGACAAGTTGGTCTGAAGAACAGTTTCATGTGCTCCACGCGGAGCAATTTGGAACTGAGCCACCTTTTTCAGCACACTTAAACTCTAAACAGTGATGACATTGCATCGATTCTTGTAAAGAAAAAGGTTGTTTTCTGTGCTCTAAAACCAAACGCAAAGCAAACCATTTACGCGATGCAAAAATTGTAGAGCCTAGAGTATTAAACTGAATAGTGGACACTCCAAAATCCAAATACCCCGACATAAACCAATGATATCATAGGCTACTTGGAAGAAGTAACACAACTCGCTGAACATAAGCAAAACTAACAAGAACAGTAGGGCAAAGAAGATGAATAGAAATATAGAATGGCAAACCTAGTTAATTCAAGTATTCGATAGTGAAACACATCTCTAAGATGTACTATCAGTTTTCAACCGCTGAAAGAATTAATTGTGGCAGGATGTATAAACTCAGCAGAAGTGCACATTTACAGACGTTGTGGAAACAATGCTCTCTACTGCTTGAGGCATGTTTTTTTTCGTTAGCTACATATTCCATCAGCACTAGTTAATGTGAAGTTTGAATCTTGACTGAAAAGGGGGAGTTTTCAACCACGTCTCACTTTCCAGACTAGACAAATATGATGATGTAGTTTTTAAGCAAGTTATATGGTGTATTTTCTTCTGAGAGCCTTGCTGTATCCAAAATTCCTATGCATACAACCATACTGGAGTATAAATCATCATGCCAACTAAAATTGATCTCAATCAGAAAATCCACAAGCAGAGCAAGCAAGAAAGCACTTACGGAGCTGATGAAGTCGACGAGAGCGGCGTTGGCCTCCCCGTCCCTCGCCGGCGCGTCGATCTGGACGCCGACGGCCTCGTCGCCGATCTCTGCAGAATCGAAGGATGCGCGTATGAAGTAAGTAAAGGGCGAAAGTTGGTGTTCAGGGAGGAGGGGAAAGAGGGGGACGGACCGGTGATGGTGGCGAGCTTGGAGCCTGGCTTGGCTTGGATGGAGATGGCGACGGTGGAGGGCGGCATCAGGCGGAGGCAGGCCGGGAAGCCTCCGGCGGCGGCGGCGTTGGGGGCGGCGGGCGGCGGTGGGGCCCCTTTGGCCTTGCCTCGTTGCTTCCCCGGAGCCATGTCTGACGGTGACTGACGACAATCTGGTCGAGCCGTGGAGACGTAGAGAGCAAAAACCAACCGATATGGCCCAGTTTGGGCCTGGTCGCTGGAACTGGGCTGCGGCAGATGATACTTTGCAATCAAGGCCCAGCCCATCATCACCTTGGCAGGATGATCCATCAAGCTAGGAGCTACAGCCAGCGTTGCCGGCAGTAAACAATCCAAGAAAAAAACACGGGGAGTTCTGCACATCTTGAACAACAACTTGGCACTGAATCCTTTAGATGAGTGTTTTTTTAGAAAAAAAAATACCACTAATAATTTTATGGTAGAAAGACTTTCGTGATAACTGATACTACGCGTTTTCCCAAGAACAGGCCAAAAGAAAAGGTGTAGCAGTAGCATCTTCAGGATTGCCGAAAACTTGGCAATAGGAACAAGTTGTTAGAGAAAAAAAAACTATCCGACCTGCCGGATTCGAACCAGCGACCTAAGGATTTATCTGCAAACACTACAGTCCTCCGCTCTACCAACTGAGCTAAGGTCGGTTTCTGAAAATTTTGTTGAACCATATGATACTTTTACACGTCTTCCGCGTCAAAGAGCTACTCACTCTCTAAATTGGGGATTGTGTACATGACATTCTATGCTACCTCTCACGGTCGCTCCAATTCAGAATTCGGTAATGCAAGTAGAATTGAATTGAGAGAAAGATGGTGATGGTCACCAGTAGTCCCTGCAAGAACAGGCGCCATTCTGAAACCTGTGGAACCTGTTGGCGTCCCTCACCACCACCACCCTCCTCACCACCGCCGACAACCCTTTCAAGAACTCGTGGCAGTCGCCGCATACCCGCAGGTTCTTGTACACCCTCACCACCTCGCCGCCGCCGCCGCCGCCATCGTCTCCGGTGCCGTCGCGCAGCAGCCACAGCCCCACGGCGAGCCTCTCGCTGTGTTCCCTCAGGCTCTCCACCCGCGACTCCTCGTCCACGTCGTGCAGCGCGCACCGCGCGTCGCCGCTGTACCCCAGCCGCTCCCGCATCCTCGCCTCCACCTCCCGCAGGGCGCGCCGGATGTCGCCGGCCTGCGGGTGCGCGTCGTCGCCGCCGCCGTAGAAGAAGTGCACCTCCTTGTCCACCTCCGTCCAGCTGCACCCGCCCTGCTTCCTCAGCCCCTTGCGCCGCATGGCGCCCCTTATCCCCTGGCACTCGCGCCACTCGCCGGCCTCCGCCAGGATGTTCGACAGCATCACGTAGTTCACCGGGTTGTCGCCGTCGACGGCCAGGAGGACGTCGCCCACCTCCCGCCCCACCGCGACGTCCTTGTGCACCCTGCACGCGCTCAGCAGCGTCTGCCACACGCCCACTGTTGGCTCCATTGGCATGCTGAGGATGAGCTCCTTCGCCTCCCGGAGCTCGCCGGCGCGGCCGAGGAGGTCCACCATGCACGCGTAGTGCTCGGCTTTCGGTCTCATCCGCCGGTCTTGACAGATTCTCGAGAAGTACCGGCGGCATTCGTCGACGAGGCCGGAGTGGCTGCACGCCGACAGCAACGCCAGGTAGGCCACCTCGTCGGCCTCCACGCCTTCCTCTTGCATCTCCTCAAACAAGTCGATGGCCTCACGGCCATGCCCATGCTTCCCGACGCCATTGATCATCGCCGTCCACGACACCACATTCCTCGCCGGCATCTCCCGGAACCGCCGTCCAGCCTCGCCGGTGAGGCCGCACTTGAGGTACATGTCAACCAGAGAGTTGGCCACCGACACGTCCAGCCCGGCCGGGGTCTTCGCCGTGTAGCAGTGCACTTGCTTCCCCTGCTCCACGAGAGCAAAGTCCGCGAACACGGCGACCACGCTGGACAGAACATGGCCGTCGGCACGGACGCCGGAGCTCCAGAACCGCCGGAACAGGCACATCGCTTCCTTCACCTGCCCCTCCTGCGCGTGGCCGACGATCACCGTCGTCCACTGGATGGCGTTCCTCCGCTCCAACCCGTCGAACACCTGCATCGCCACCGGCAGGCGGTGGCACTTGACGTACACGTCGAGGAGCGCTCCGGCGAGGATAGCGTTGGACGCTGGGGAGACCCCTCTGACTGCCATGGCCGCGTGGACCTGCGCCCCCTCGCGAGCCGCGCCGAGGCCGCTGCACGCCTTGAGAAGGCTGGCGAAGGTGAACTCGTCGGGCTGCTCGTCGTGCCGCCGCTGCATCTCCCGGAAGACGAGCAGCGAGTCCCTGCCTTGGCCGGCGTGCGCGTAGCCGGAGATCATGGAGTTCCAGGTGGCGAGGTTCCTGGAGGGAATTACGTCGAACACCCGGCGTGCGTCGCCGGTCCACCGGCCCTTGGAGTACATGACGACCAGCGAGTTGGCGACGACGTCGTGCCCCTCGAACCCCGTCCTGACGCAGACGCCATGGATCTGAACACCGGCTCTCGTGCCGCCGCCGCACGCCTTCAAGGTCGCCGACAGCGTGAACTCATTCGGCGAGGTCCCTGAACCCCGCATTTCCCCGAACAGGCGGAGGCACTCTCTGGCCTCCCCGTGGTGCAGGAAGCCCACCATGAGCGCCGTCCAGGACACCACGTTCCTCTCGGGCATTCCGTCGAACACCTCGCCGGCCATGTGAAGCTTCCCGCACTTGGCGTACATGTCGATCAGGTTGTTGTTGAGCATGGTGTCCGACCCGAAGCCGAGCTTCATCAGCGCGGCGTGGAGCTGGACGCCGCCGCGGAGGGACGAGCCTCTCGCGCTCGCCCTGAGCAGATCGGCGATCATCCTCCGCCGCTCCATCGGAAGGAACCCCAGTAGATCAATCGCTCTCAGCTACGCGACATCAACACGGCGCCCGAATCTGAAGGTCCAGGAATGGCACTGCTCCTGATCATTGCTGCTAGCAAGGAGATGGATTGCAAATGCGGAAAATACCTTTAAGGCAACAGAACAGTGAGAAACGCCGAGGGATCTTCCAGCTAGCTCCACAAGGTGGTGAGCTAGACAATTTGGGTTCGAAGCCTCACCCCTTATAGTTATTTAATATTAGGTCATTCCCTAATATTCGTGTCTTTTTGGCAACAGAACAGTGGATTGGGGGGGAAGTCTTGAAATGTTTGGATAGGAGACCGGGTTTCAACACAGACAAACAGTGGATATGAAAATGCATTTTGGTTGCTGTGTACAGAACTCCCAACTTATATTCACATTTTTCGTGTAAAAAGTCTACAGGCTACAGAGAAGACTACAGGAAAACAAGGTTTTGAACACAAAGAGGTACCTGCATATGTCCAAGTACAACAAACAAACAATTCAACTAATCCTGAACTTCAGATGATATTGCTAAGCTTGCATAGGCTCTTCAGTAAGGCGTCTATGGTCTGAGGAAGCTGTGGCTGAAGAACTCTTGGAAGGACAACCTTTTCACTGGAAGCAATTATGGAAATTTGTTAGCTTCGCACTCTCCATATTTTCAGTGAGAGGTTGTAACAAGATCAAAGGCGCACCTGGATTGCTACACAGAAGTCTGGTGCATATATCAATAGAATCAGGACGTAGCTTGGAAATAACGACTTCTGAGAATGGAAGAGACACGGTTCGGTTTATGCATTGAAGCAGCTGCAGAGACAAATCTGTGATGAGAACTTATTGAAGTTTAGATAAGATAAACAAGGTTGAAGAGAGAACTAGTAGCCACCTGGACATTGCTTCTACCACGGAATGGTGGATAGCCATTCAAGAGCTCGAAGAGAATCGCGGCGATACTCCACAAATCTACCTGCACACAACATACATATGTTCAGATTTCTCCCGTTTGTGTGTGTGGCAAAGAGAGTTAGCCATGTGAGTACATACAACATACCCCACCATCATACTTCTGAAACAGCATAACTTCTGGGGCCATGTACAAACAAGTGCCACAATTTGTATCTGTGTATTCCCCGGGACGAAGAACTCTAGAGACCAGAAGTAAAATTTGGATTAGATTGTCTTATGAGTAGCACGATGCCTTTTGCAACTAATACAGCTTTTTAAAGACTGAGTAACCTCAACCTACAGGTTATGTATGTTGAGCAGTGTACCTTGACAGGCCAAAATCAGATATCTTGAGGATCGCATTGCTGTCAGGAGAAGAGAGCAGGATATTCTGCGGCATACAACAGTTTTATCAGTCAACAATGGTGTCTCAAATCAGTTAGAGCTTAATAACACAAGTAATTAAGAGATGAAAAGAGAGAGATTTGTGGACCTCGGGTTTTAAGTCCCTATGGACGATATGGTGTCTGCGGAGCACTTGCAAGCCAGCTCCTACCACAAGGTGTTGGGCAAGCATAATTTCTTACACATGATTATCTTCTTGTTGTAATTGTAACACAACTCTACTGTAAACTGTGACATTTCTCTTAATGGAAATGGAGGACTAAGGCCCTTTGATCCAAAAAAAAAAATTTGTAACACAACTAACTAAGGTTGCGGGTAATGTGATAGATTGGGGGGCAACAAGAGAAAAGAGATGCTACTAGGGCTAGAAATGAAATTGATATGGCAAATATTACTAGGTGAATTACCGATCTGTCTCATGAAATTGCTGGCGACGCGCTCCTCTACCCTCCCGTTGCGCTGGATGTAGGCCGCCAGGTCTCCTCCCTCGCACAGCTCCAGGACAAGGTACAGGTTGCTCTGGGTCTAATTAAGGAGAAAAATTCACTAGGATTGGTAGAGAAGGAAGAAGAAGAAGACGATGGAGAAGACAAAAGGAGACCTGGATGAGGTCGAGGAGGCGGATGATGTTGGGGTGGGTGACGGCGGCGAGGAAGCGGACCTCGCAGTCGAGGCTGTCGCGGAGGGTGCTGGGGAGGCCAGTCAGCCGCACCTGCTTCACCACCACGGGGGATCCGCTCGACCGCTCCACGGCGCGCCACACCACCGTGGACGGCGGCCGGCCGCCCAGCCGCTCCCGCAGCTCGTAGCCTCCCACCGTCGTCTCCGGCTCCGGCGTGCTCGCCATCGCGAAACCACTGGAAAGGAAATGGATGGATTGGATTTTTTTTCCTCCTCAGTTTTCGATCTCATCAGATTTTGGCCCAAGCAACTAACTGGGCCAGGCCCAGCCCAAACTGCTATTTTCTTTCTTTACCCGTGTCAAAACATACTACTCCCTCCGTTTCACAATGTAAGTCATTTTAGCATTTCTCACATTTATATTATTGTTAATGAATCTAGATCTAGATTCATTAACAACAATATAAATGTGAAAAATGCTAGAATGACTTATATTATGAAACAGAGGAACTAGTTTTTAATATGTTTGAATTGCTTCCAGTTAGGTGCCAAATCTAACTAGAGTATAAACAAGGGTTTGGGATGCTACCAAATTAAGCTTGGGCATAGCCAACAATTTGGCTCCAATCCTATAGACAAGCATCAAAATGGAATTCAGCAAAAGAGATATGGTTCTTCATCTGAAGTTCTGAAGTCTCAACTAAGTTATTGCCGGATGTACATGAGCCAAAATTGCACAGGCTGGAAACACAAAAACTAGAGCTGTATTAAAATATCCCAGTGGCTGCCGCCTTGTTCAGCGTTCTTCTAAATTTAGTACACATATTATATGACAAAACAGAAAACTCATACCAATCAGGTGTGAGTAAAAAAATATTATACATGCAAGCATCCGACATATATACAAAATCATTTCTATGCTGCCGTGCTAGCAACAAACAGTAGCCTGGTAGTTTTGAAGAAAACCTCTAAGCTGTTTTCACAAAGGTCACAAGGAGCCCATGTATTCTCTATCGCGCCGATTTCTTTTGTATCTTTGCTTTGGGATGTCGACTTCCTGTCTTGGAAACCTACAACAGATATGCAGCTTTTCAGCAGTCTCAAGCATGAACCTAGATACTTCAAATTCATTATTTTTTTCCGATCGTCGTTTCATTAAACCTAAAGTGTACAAAGTTCAGAAATTTACCAGGACATGCCGTAAGATATCTTCCAATTCTACAGTAATCTCTGAGAAAAGGGGCCGCACATGAGGATTTTCATCCCAACATCGTTCAATCAGTTTGGACAACCTCGGATGCACCTTCGGTGGGATCTCCATGCGCATTCCCTAAAATAATTAAATAAGGGTCAATGTTTACAGTCATCCCTTCATCCTTGAGCATCCATTATTTGTTAATATTATTTACTTTTTTTAACATCCAATGTGTTATGTTGGAGCTTATTGGCATCAAATACATACCTGCCTTACTCCCAGTGCAGCTTGCAAGGGTGTCAGATTTTCGTATGGTATCTACATAGCACATGTATTAGTGGTTATTACATCTGACCATAGTTCACTGCTGTTAAAAAAATTGAGAACTATGAAAACGTCACACAATGCCTTGCCAGCCACAGGTTACCTTTGTAGTGACCAACTCCCATAGAACAATAGCAAAGCTGAAGACATCTGCCTTATGGTCATAAGGCTTATGGTTTATTACCTGGTAACACACGCGATTCTAATAAGTACATTGCACATGCATATTGTCTTAGCTTTGCATAACTCTTCTAAGTATGGCTTTTGCACACTGATCCAAAAAATCAGTGCAGTAAGTAAATGCAAGCGTGATCAATATGTAAGCCAACATGCTTGCAAGGACAGCATAGTCAGGTAGTCTGTGTATGCATACATGTGAAAACAGTAAAATAGTGCATCATGCATCTGTATATGTGCCTAAGCCTGGTGAAATGGGCTTGTGAAACTGAACTTATCATTAGCAAACAGAAAAGACTTTCTGTTGCAGTACAAAAGTCTTATCGAGTAATCAGAAAGGAAAATAAAGGGAAAAAAGGGACACCAGAGGATAAGGAACAAAAGGATCAACATAGTACCTCAGGTGCCATCCATCTATACGTGCCAGTTTCAGCAGTCATTTCTCCCCCTTGAGATCGGAGCCGAGAGACACCAAAGTCTGCGATCTTCACGACCTATTAAGAATTGAATCAGTGCTTCGACATCCTTCAATTGATAAGCAACTTCGAAACAATATGCATACTTGACCAGAGCCAATTAGCAAATTGGCAGTCTTCAAGTCCCTATGGATGATATTATTCTGGTGCAAATAATCCATTCCTTTTGAGATACCAATAGCAATCCTAAGAACAACAGGAAGCTCCAAAGTATTGTTTTGCTTATGAAGGAAGTCATACAAATTACCTCCGGGCATGTACTCTGGATGAGACACACAAATAACAAAGCAAAATATCAGTTGACATGAAATAATCGCAGAAAAGAAATTGCCCGATAATAGATACCCTAGATAGATAAATGCTCTACATTGAGCTGACTTGATCAATTCGGAAAACTCAATACATAAAAATACAAACAAGCAATCCATGGCCTATGCTCGTTTGTGGGATTGAAGCAAGAAAACAGAGTGCACCCTTGGAAAGTTGGAAATCGGAACTGACACATACAAACATTTTTTTCCCTAAAAAAGCAGTAAGATAAATATATAAATGATCTCATGGCTACAATGATACTACTACTAACTTAACTCATCTAGATCGCTGGCTCTTGATATTATGTAAGAAATCCTATGGCATGACAAGGGAACAGAATAACAGTATTGTACATAAGTAATTATTTATTTACTATCCATGCAATTCTTGTCCATTATCTAAAAAAAGTATAATTCTTGTCATCTTCTGAATAAATAAAGACTAGACTGTACGAAATATTTGAACCAAACTCCCATGTGAATACGATGATTCAGTAAAGAAGATGCACAAATATCTTTTTTTAAGTGACTAGAAAAGAGTTTAGTTGGGATTCTGAACACAAGTTCACTTGCAGTAAAATGAATTAACACCCTCCTAATAAAGCTCTTCAAAACATCTAAATATTTAATTAACAGCAAGATTGGACAACCAATACCTTACTGCTAATCAATTATGCAATGGGAGTAATCTCAATAAACTAATGTCAAGTTAAAACGTGTGGATGATACATGTATCTTATAAATCCATGGATAGCATCTCCTTATTTATAGGTGCTATACAGGATGAGTCTGATATGAACTTTGCAGCTAGGGGCCCAGAACTCATCGCCTTGCAATACAATAATAGAAAAAAATACTCATGTGATGTGTAAACAATACAGAAATTTGGCTGGTAATTTAGAAAATGAAAATTTGTGTGCTCATTAGGAACGAAGACTTATTTCACATGCATGAATTAGAAAGTAGTAATTCACAGGCTAATTGAAGGGTGGGTAGAGACCTGTTGATAGGAATAGAGTAGCAATATTCTTCTGACCAGACATATCTTGCACTATTTTCCATCATGGTGTAGAATTCTTTATGCATGGACGCAACAAGCAAATGTAATGGTTACAGTATCCCTCCTATAGACTTAGCTGCTCTTGAAGTCCCTACCAAAATGGATAAAAGACAGGAGTTATCCCCCGTCTTTCGAGATTTTTTGTTTTTAACAATTCCACCTAATGACGCTCACCAAAATGCAAAACTAAAAATGTTCAATCAACAGTTATTTACATTAGATGCCAAGGAAACTGGAGATGAAAAACCAAGCACATTGGTTATACCCAGACATGAGCTCAATCTTTTAGCCACCAACGCTACTCAGATTGTAAATATGCCCAAGCACTGCTATCTGAATCTTGAGAAACAAGGATTTTGATTCCTACGAAAAAAATCAGCAGGCAAGATTATCAGCAATATTTGTGTCACCTGTTACAATGAGATACTTTCGATGCTTTGTGCAAGCTCCATAAAATTGGACAACATTTTCATGATCAACACTCCTGGACATGACTTCACTGTATTAGAATTATCTGGAATTTTAAATGATTCAAAGTCAAGTCTATGCATCAAAGTGATTTCAAAAGAAAGCTTACTTTAAAATCATTATTTCTTGCAAGAACTCCACTTTCGAAGAATCGTTAACATGTTCAGATCTAAGAAATTTTACTGCAACATCCACACCGAGATAAGTTCCTCGATATCTGCAGCCGAGGATACAAACAAGACCACTTGGTTAATGAACTGCTGATCTTGCTAGAAACATTAAAAAATATAGAATAATGCACACAGCAATATGTCTCCACAAGTTGAAATCAGAAACCCAGAACACAACTAGCTTTGTGACTATTTGTTGATAGTGCCCCCTTGTGAAACCATTTGCTTGTAAACAGATGTAAGAAAGGTCATGCAATCCACACTAGCAGTTGAGTTGTACCTGTTGTTCTAAATAACTACCTCCGTTCTTTCCTAATATTCATTATTCCTAAGTAATAAGAGTTGCATGTTTCTTACAGATCCCCAGAAGATCCGGATGCAATTTTCTCCCCAATTTGCAGCAAACTCCTGTCGAATTCAGAATCTCCTATCTTTTCCTGCAGCTCTAGAACTTTCTCTGATTGTGACAAATTTGTCGGATTAGACAATGAGCCCTACATACAAGAAGTTCAATTCTGTAAAGGAAAAGGATAGGGATGGCATATTCATTTCTTCAAGTCTTGTAATGCTGACTTGAGAGTATTTACAGGACTGCATTTAATGCAAAAAGGAGGTAACTTGCAAGCATGTTGACTTCCTAACCAGCAAGACACCTTTAAATTTCAAGCAATCGTGTTGATTAAATGGAGAAATAGGAAGAACCATACATGGCTGCTTGCCTCTGCCTCTATAAGCTTCTGAAGCAAACCATCCGTTTCCTGCACATAGTGTTAGGCAATGTTTTAATTTGTGGAACACCTTGAAGCATAGTGTACTTAACAATCTGATTATCTAATTTTATGGTTTCCCACCATAAGTAGTCATGATTAAAAGTTCGAAACATAATTTGTAGAGTTCTGTAATTGTGTGAAAAAAATAAGCTATAACCATGACGATGCTCTAAGTTTACCTCTGTATCCCAGCCATCAACAACAAACACATCGAGACAAAAGCCATCTGATGTTGAGAACACATGAGCTTCACGGATGTTCAACCCAATATCAGACAGTATCGCGGATAGCTGTAAAACAATATCTCACAGTTCAAGCGGTGACACAAGAAGGTGTGGTATTCGTATGGAGGTCTCTAAATAGAAATCACAAAGTACATGGCCTTGCCTTACTGAGGAGCTTTGGCTTGTCTATGGAAGAAAAAATAATTTCATGAACACGGACGAATTTCGAGTCCCTTCTGCAAAATTAAGAGAATGGTTATGGACAAATCATGTAAAAAATGATTAAAGATGATTGCTCAGGCAAATTAAGAGAATGGTTCACGAAAAGAAAGCATATAATACATGAGTGCTAAACTAGTCTGGATATCAGAAAGAAGTCCATATAAAAAGAATAGGCAAAGAAGACGTTACTAATCATTTCAAAGAATTATATGAGAACTGTTGTGCACCGATGTAGAGAGCAAAGGCTCATATCCACAAAACTCAACAATTCAAACAAGGCTGATTAGAGCAACTAGCCTGATTGCATATAACTGCAGTAACACCAACTATTTTTTTTTGCGGGGAGCAGTAACACCAACTATAAAGGTTGCTCTTAAGTATCATGACGGAAGCTTTGTACCAAAGAGGAACACAGTGTTGTTTTATGGACAGAACAACCTTTCAGTCAAGTTAGCACCCTTCTGGAAACATAATCTATGTTTATACAAATGAAATGGAAATTTCGCATTCTTGCAGTTTTTAGATCGAACCAGATGGTTGAAACCTGAAACTGACGTTCCGGATTAATTGATTGTTATTATGGTATAGATATGTCATTCGCACAGCACAACAGCTTAGTAACAAAAATACCTTGCAGAACTGGCTTCGAAGTCATCCACACCTTTTCCTCTCTCTAGACTCAGGTCTTCCATCATCCTTTCATATGGCTCGGATTCTGTGAATTCATCATCTCTGTCCAATATTCACAGGCACAATCGATGTTAACACGAAAGATATACTGATAAGTTGGCTTGATATTTACAGAAGAAGAAGCATTTTTGTTTGGACAAAGAGATACCATTCCGAACACGAAAAGAAAGGTACATACACTCCACTGAAATCAACTGTGTCCTCAACTAGTAAAGTATGTATGTATGTATATATATATATATATATATATATATATATATATATATATATATATATATATATATATATATATATATATATATATATAAAAGCATTGGAAAGTTGGTGACCTATACCTCAAATTGATAGGGAGAAAGCCCCCACCATTACCGTTTTCAGTTGGAGTTGATCCAGAGTCTACCCCTATGTAGCGGGCATGGAAGATTGGGCGCTTTTCAGGGTCGGCGCAGTCGGCGAGAATCCTCCGGTGCAGCAGCACTTGCTCTGCCTTGCTGACATCCAGATCGATCAAATAGCTGCACAGGCAAGAAGATTGCACTTTGAAAGGCGAGAAAAGCAAAACAACTGAGAGACAGGCGAGAAGCATCGTATGTGTACTACCTTTCGGGCAAGCGAAGGAAGTGGCGGTCGAGCTCAACGCGGAAGGAGGAAGGGTTGGAGATGGCCTCCTCGTTGCGAATCGCCACCAGGCGCTCGTAGATGACGTTCCTAATGTCAGGGGACCCGTGCACGCTACCGCCGCCGCCGCCGCCGCCGGAACCGAGTCCCGCGGCGGCGGCGGCGGCACGGGGAGAGGGTCCCGAGCTCTCGGCCACGCCCTCCTCGATGTCGTCCTCCATCTCCCCCGCGGCGGCGAGGTGCCGCCTACGCGAGTCCCCCCATAGCGACGTCGTCCACTACGTCTCAGGAGGAGGCGGCGAGAGAGATGCGGTAGTAGAAGCAGCCTGAGCTGAGGTATCCAATCCAAGAGGTGGTGAGGAATCCGAGGGGACTCTTTTGGCGCGAGAATCTTCTAGAGGATGGCGCGCGCCGGCCGGCGGGCGGTGGGCTAATATTGTAGGGTGAAATTCCTCGCCGGAGCGGAGATTCCAATCCAAACGCCGGCGAGGCGAAGCGAGACGACGAACTGAGCAGCGTCTCGCTCTCTCGCCAGCTCGCAGGAGGAGGAGGAGGGAGATTTTCCTTTTCTCTTTTTTTTCCTTTCTTTTTATTATGAATTTTTGGCTTTGGTGGAATGGAATTATGGAAAAAAATGGAATGGAAGCAGGAGGAGGAGGAGGAGGATCTTCTGCGCCGTCGCGCCACAGGAGATATAGCTTCTTACTGCATCCAGTAGGGACGCGACGCGTGGCGGCGGAGGGGGTGTCCTTATCCGATTCCGGGGGGCGAGATGGACGGTCTGGATTCATCGTGGAGCAATCGGACGGCGGCGGGAGGGGCGCACGCCGGAGAGTTAGAGTTTGGGTGGGGACCACCAGTCCTTTCCGCAAGTACCGGAGATTGGACAAACGGACGCTGGAAAGGGTGGAATCAGAGTACGGCTCGCTGTACGGTGGGCCCGCCGTGCTTTCCATCTCCTTCTCTCTTTGCCTGGCCCACCGGGCAGTGACCTCCGGTAGTAGTAGTTCCCCTAAACTTGCACTGATTAATTTTCGAGTAAATTCCATTTGATAAAACTATCACTTTGCTACAGCTTTATTCAGAGTAAACCATAACGGTGTGTGTCTAACATGTGGCCTGACATAATTTTGTATTTTTGAGTGCGTGCCTAGCAAATAAGCCTAGAGAAATCAAGCTATTACGGTTACAGTTTTATGATAAAATCATCAGCTATTGTTATAGTTTGCTGAAATTTACTTTTATTTTTTTTAATATTAATTTGCAAACAAAATACTCCTACAAATCTTACTCCATTGATTTATGGTTGTTTTGGCAAAACTCCATATCCTTAATCCACGACAAATTTAAAGTTTGTAAATTAAATTATAATGATTTATTTACATTCTGTCTTAAGTGATGATAAAATGATTCTTCAAATTTTATCAATGTGATCTCAGATTTAGGATCATGCCAAACAGAGCACAAAACTCACGTATTTACAAGCGGAGAAATCATGTGTCTGCTAGCCTACTCCAATTGTTAAATACAGTGTACTACTACTTGTTATAACATCAATATCAATGTCAAACCTTCGTTTTATATAATAGCAACGGCCAAAATTCACTGCTAGATTATGCTAACCTGATAGCAAATCAATGTTAAGTTATTAGTACTTCATTACTCACATACATAAGATTCTAGCAACTGGATCCAAGATACCACGCTTGACCGCATCCAGTTAGCTTCTAATTTCAACGATGTGCCTTGCATGCTTAATTCACTAACTAAGCAATTGATAAACAATTTACTAGTTTGCATCAACAGAGAAAGAGATCGTACTTGCTCCAACTTGTCCCGACGTGTCCAACACGTTCCTCTTCGACGTAACTTGTGTTTTAAAGTTGGCAATGACACGGAGTTAATTATAACTGTTTTTCAAGTGATAAACACATTGTCAATGTCACCACTGTGCTGGGGCACTACTCGAGCAAAACGCATCAAGTTGCAATTAAAAAAACTTCCGGTGAAAGAAACATAAACTCAGAAGAATAATCAACCTCGATGATATTACGATATTTTCATTGATTAAGAGCAGCAAGGGCCAAATCAAATCTTCAGGTCAGAAGCAGCGGCAGTACTCAACTGCTAGAGCAGTAATCACTGTCAATTACTAAGTACTCCCTTTGTTTATTTTTAATTTAACGTTGGCGTCAAACAAATGAGAATGGAGGAAGCAATTAACTACTCCAGTAGGGAATACATAGCTATAGCGTTTGCAATGTACGGCAGCAAACAGCAAAGGCCAAACCTTTGTTTCCAAGCGTATGTATGCTAGTCAAGAATCTAATTAAGCAATATTCTGTTCTCAAAAAAAGAAAAAAAAAAGAAGAAAGAAAGATCCAATATTCTAATAACCGGACTCCAGATTCTAAGAAAGCAGTTTCGTCGTATCAATCAGAAAATAGTAGTACAACGCAGTTGTTTCTACATACCATAATTGTAGCGTACGTCAGGCTGCACGCTTGGCTTAACTTGATGGATTAGTGCCAACCTACAAATACTCCTTCCATGCATACAACGATCATACAAAGGGTACCGTACAAGGTAGTAAACACTTATGCCTTCTTTCAAACGGGAGAGCATTTTGAAGGATCATCTTAGGGATTGAGCTAGATTCTAAAAAACAAAAGGAAATACAAATACACATTTCTCTTGTTTCAAAGGAACTCTCCTTTGGAACTCAGGATTAAAAAAAACATGAAAAGAAAAAAAGAAGTGTTGGATTGAATTGTCAAGGCTTGTTAAATCCTTAGGATTTCAAACAATACAAGAATTGATCTAATAAAGTTGTTTGGAGTTTCCTAGGGAAAAAGCACGAGAATTTTGAGAGAGGAAGACATAGGAAGATTCCCATGAGGTTGGAATTTATGCTAGAAACCCTCCAAAATTCTAATGAATTGAGGCAATTCATAAGAATTTATATGGTTTTGAGATGACCACTCATTTGTTCCAAAGATATGCATAGGGACTATTTCCACCGGATTCAAAATCTCCAAATATCCTTTGTTTCAAAGAAGCCCCTATATGGCGCATACTGTAATATAAGTTGTATTACCATAGTAATATATGTGGTTGTATCAGAAACAGCTTCTATTTAACAGTTAGCTATGACATGAGCTTTTATTGTTCTAAATTTCAAGGGATAGCAAGTAGTACCACTGTGTGAACTACGTATTAGTTAGACCAAGCACAACTAGTTGTTGCAAGATTTTGTTGTTGTAGCTGCCAGAAATTGCTTTCAGCTAGCTTCTGCGTCCAACCATAACAGTTTTTAAACGTAGAAAGGAAGAAAGTCGACCCACCATATTATGCGCATTTGTGCTGTAAGCACCGGAACAAAAACGCATCAAGTTGGAATAATCAAGTTCCAGACTTCCTGTTATTTGGCAAAGTATTGACAAAAGCTGGGGTAACCTGACCTGAAATGGATCATGACATCGGCACAATTAAAGCCCACGCTTTGTTGTCGCCACCTACAAAGTACGCTTATGCTGCAAGTGCAAATTAAAGGATATTACTGTCACTTCCAAAGTAATTATGTCACGCGGTAGTGACAAAAGCTGGAGTAAATTCCGTATTATCGCGCAGTAAGTAACCAGTAGTGTGAAGAAGCTGTGGCCGGCTGCGATAGCGATGTGAAGGTGAAGCCGCTCTGCTCAAAACAATCCAGCAGCAACTAGCAGCAGCGAGTAAGTTGATGGGAAAACAAACAAATTCAGTAGAACATCAAATGCAGCAGCAGCAGCTTGTGCCAATCCAATCCAGGATTAGGTAAGAATAGCACGGGATCAAGTGGACAAATCGGACAGCAGCTGCTGACCCAAAAGATCACACTGCCGAGTCATCCCACCTTACTATATTGTGCATACATCAATATTAGCAGCATTTTTTCATGCCAACTACAGGGCTTACCACTTAATCAGAGTGGGTCCTTGCATGCTCTTATGAAATAAATAATGATGGACGCATATCACAAGCACTAAAGCCACCAGAGCGTGTTCATTATCAGATCACCGGATGATTAGCACAGCCTTGCCAATTATCAGCCGACCACTAACTTGTGACATCATAAACCACACTAACGATAAAACTTTTACAGTGTAACAAAAGATGTGATGTGAAGACAGTTTTTCAAAATTTAAAGTACTATTGCTTCCGTTAACCTTCCTTCACGAGAACAACAATGAATCGGCATGGCACATCAGAAATATTCAATCGGTTGATCGTCGTGATAACAACGCTTCCATGGCTTTGAATAGTAGTTTGCTTACATTTGTATGCACGTTCCAATTTTTTTATACTAACCTTGAAATAGCACTTACGTAGTTCGGTGTTGATTTTGGCACATACCGTACAATACAATATTGGTAGATGACGACTGGCAAAGCATTTCAATACAACAGCAACAGGTTCGCAACAATAATAATGCCACCGTGCTACTGCTCATGTGGACACTTTCTAGATGAACAAGTAAGCAAGAGTTGCTACACATGAGGTTGTATACCAGAAATGAAAATTCCCAATTTGATGTAACCAGAAGACCTATGAAATAGCTTAAATGGACAAGATAGAGATCTATCAGTCCCAACAGTACGCAGATTCCAGTTTATGTAATTGCTTAAAAAAATTCAACAGGGTGTTAGACTGTTAGTTCACCTAAGGCATTCTGCTAAACTGCTGCCAAACATAATAAAAGTGTCCATTCGTCTCGAGCAAACTAGCATGGCTTCCCCAGACTAGCGAACATCAAGAACACAGGTAAATAATACTAGGGAGCATGTTCATGTACAGAGAAAACCAGACATACCAATTTATAGCTTTCAGATCTTAGAGAACATTTTGAAACAGGGAAAAGATGCATGAAAATTGAAAAGGCTCACAAAATCAGAACTCTCATAACTTTCTTATTTCAGATCACTCACCAGCTCAGTAGATACCAGAAAGTAACCATTTAAGAACAATAAAACAGAAACAGTGAAGAAGTTATAACATAGACTCGCACAAAACCACCAAATTTTACAAGATGTATTTAGCTCAATATCATTAACACCAAACTGTGGTTTAGTAGAATCTGAATATCTGATGATATTCAGGAAGATGTGACATGCCCATAGATCTGCCAAATTTTCAGGGATCATATCCAAATACATCTTGTAAAATTTCATATTCAGTGAAAGGCTTATAGCATGGCACAGCAACTTGGTTAGGCATTGGAGAAATAGCAGTAGATTCGTTAGAAAATGGCATAAGTAAGAAGCTTCAGCAAGAATGAAAAATAAGGAATGAAGGTATAGCAGATTGATTATTCATTGCTTCAAGAACTACATGCAAAGCACAACTTTGTATAGGACGAGCAGGTGCATGACACCTAGATTGGCCTAATGCTAATTATAAGCCGTACTGCTTATAATTTGTGGCCAAAACTTTTATGTGTCCTTAGTTTTCTAAAAGCCAGTGCTGAAAAATAAACCTTAAAATGAACTTCAAAATTAAGTTTTAAAATTCAAATTGACAGTGGCTTATAAGCTGTAGGGAAAATGATGGGAGCCTAATTACTCTAGCATTATACTGTAGCTACAACTTTATCTATAACTTAACAAATACCAAATTCTAGTTTGAAAAATGCATATATTATCTTTACCTAAGGCAAGCAACAAACTCCTTATTCATATGCCATTTATCCCTGACCCCAGACCAATGCCCATAATGTTTGAGACAGGCAGATGAATCGTCAACACAAAAGATCATATCACTTAAAACCTTCCTCCACCTAAGCAAACAATTGTAAAAGCTGAAAGCATTCATGAACAAAGATAATACTTATTCTGGAACCAATGTTAGAACTTAATGTTGTAGTAGTCACCAATAAGCACGGTCCAAAACGAAGATAAGCAAAGCATATTATACTCCTTGTGTCTTTAATCAAAGCAAAAATAAGAACTAAATAATGTGTTCACCAAATTAAGTTTAGTAAAGCACCTCATCACATTGCAACTAGGGACTAAATTAGTTTGTTATAACCCAAGGTTGCATGACCATGAACTGTTTCAATCTTTGGCAAATGGGCTTCCTTACTACACTATATTTCTAAAAGTACCACTTCATACAGTTCATAATTAGTGCAGCTGTACCCTAGCTTTGACTTTTGTGTAGACTCCTGACTTTCTGAATTCAAATATGAGATGCTTGCATGTCATTATGTCAATAAGAGCATGCAAGTTATCAATTATATGAACATGCCTTGTTACGAAACAAAACCTGACAAAACCTTTTCTATAATGTTCACCACCTGAACCTGCAAGCACAGAGCAGAAGAGGAATGCATGCTCTTTTGTGTAGACTCCTGACTTTCTGAATTCAAAGATGAGATGCTCATTTTCGAGGAAAAAAAAGTTGAGGTGCTTGCACGTCACTATGGCTGTGTTCTTTGCCCAGGGTTCCCAACCCCTCTCCCTCGTTTTCCGCGTGCACGCTTTTCAAACTACTAAACAGTGTATTTTTTGCAAAAAGTTTCTATACAAAAGTTGTTTAAAAAAATCAAATTAATCCATTTTTTTTTAAAAATAGCTAATACTTAATTAATCACGCCCTAATGAAATACTTAATTAATCACGCCCTAATGAACCGCCCCGTTTTCCACGATCACTGTTCCGGTTGGGATCCTGGGCTAGCGAACACACCCTGTCAACAAGAGAGCACGCAAGTTATCAATTATATGGACATGCCTTGTTACATAACAAAACCTGTCAAAAGCTTTTCTATAATTTTTATTAGCTAAGATCACCACCTGAACAATGTACAAGCACAGAGGAATTCAGCAAAAGAGTGTGTTGAGATATTTGAATCCATAAGGAATTAAGAACCATAACACAGCATAAAACATATAATGTTATTGCTGAATTAACTAAGAACATAGACACGTTTATGGTATTGGAATACCTAAAAGCTATTCTGTATGTGAAACATGCTGAATGAAGATATATATATATATATATATATATATATGCTTGTGTTAGGACCTATTTTTAGCATCCCTGACTCTGCTGGATGATATTTCATATAAGGCATCCCAATAGCACATCTAAGGTCAGAACAAATGAAGCTTAAGACCTAACAAACTTGTTTTCATGTTCATTTCAGAAGACAAATAACTAGAGTACCAACCAAGCCCTAGGAAACTATAAATTCAAAAGATCAATAGTAAGTACAGAACACACACACACACAGAGGAAAAATTGTATACTTGCCTGCCCTTGCTATGACTGCTGATAACATTAAAGTACTGAGTAGAAAGAACTAGGGCACACCTGAATTCATTAACTTTATATATAGTGATTCCCCACTTCATGCGGCCAGTAGGAAAACTAATTATGTACTGACTACTGAGAACTAATATGTAAGTAGTGTCGCGAGTCAAGATCAGCAAAGTTATTATAACGATGTGATCACCTTGTTCATGTAACAAGCAGAGTGATCACCATACACATATTCCCCCCTACGAAATCATCAAAACAAAATAAAAGTAACCTGAATTTTATTGTCTGAAGCAACAAACCCTGAAAAGATATTTAAAACATTTCACTTTTAACAAGTACAGCAATTGAAAGTATCTCATGATGCTACGAACCAAGTACAATGCAAATAAAATTCTTTGACATGTCAATTCCCCCTGCATGCAATGGATAGATGTCCCGAATCAATTAAAATCTTAACCTGAGCGCATTTAGTCACGCACCGGACTGGTATGTGTTCTCCATAGACTTCAGGGCATAGCAGTGAACCCACCATCGAACACAAAGCCACGGTATACGCCATCACTGTACCCAGGAACACCATCAACCCAGTCCCACTTGCCACCGCTGTTGCCTAGCTCATCCTCCTCCCACATTGCCAGCTTCCCTCGCACCCGCTTTCCAGCAAACCACACCTTGCCATCACCGCCAAACACCTTGACCTTGTTGTTGCCACCAGCAACAGCAGTAGGCATGGCATTACCCTGTGCAGCAGCCTCACAGAGGCCGGTGAAGCAACGGTACATATTGGGAGGCATGCGGCCAGCTTCGTCCCACTCCATGGTGGCCAGATCTAGGCGTAGGATGAGCACCGTGGAGCATGGCGCGTCTATGGCGAACGAGGACCTGAGGCCGCCGATCATCAGGACACGGCGGCCGCCGGCACCAGCGAGGAGGCGCGGGCGCTTGAGGATCTCGAAGACATCGCCCCACGCGGAGCGCTCGACGGGGGCCCAGCCGCCTGTGAGCATGGAGAGCGGGCAGGAGAAGAGCTTCCACTGGCTGCGCCACGGGGTGCCGACATCGCAAAGCGCGAAGACGGCGGCAGCGCCGGAGGCGAGTATAGGGCTCCGCGGCTTGGAGGGGAGCGAGAGGGGATGCTTCATCCACTTGCCGGATCCGGATGGGGTGTAGGAGAGGGCGGCGAGCTCGGTGAGCACGAGGACGACGCCGCCGGGGCCAGCGAGGACGGTGCCGTGGCGCGCCCAGGCAGATCCGAGAGGGGGCAGGAAGCTGTAGGTCCCCGCGAAGGGGTTGCAGACAGCGAGCGATTTGGGCGGGTGGGCGGTGGAGGCGGTGGAGGAGGAGGAGGAGGAGGAGGGGAGGGATGGCGGGGAAGGCGAAGGGGACTCGAGCCAGAGGTAGAGGAGAGAGGGGGAGGAGGCGACGGGGGAGAAGGACTGGTTGGGGAGGAAGGCGGAGAAGGGGAGCGGAGCCAGTGCGGCGGTCGGGGTCGAAGGCGTGGAGGCAGCCGCCGCCTTCGGGGCGCGGGTGGCGGAGGAGGAGGAGGCGGAGGGAGGGGAGGAGGGCGAGGAAGTTGTGGGAGAGGGTTTCGTGGAAGAGGCGCGATACCGGGCGGCAGACGACGGCGTCGCGGAGGGGGAGGCGGAGGAGCACGTTGTGGAGCGCGTCCGGCGGCAGGAGGTGGATGGGCGCCGGCAGCAGCGAGGCGGCGGCGGCGGCGGCGGCGTCGGCGTCGGAGTCGGAGTCGGATGCGGCCATGGCGAGAGAGAGTTTGGTGGGGAACTGGAGCCAGCCGAGCCGAGATAGCGGTGCGCAACTACACAACACAGAGGAGGAGCCCGGGGGCATTTCCGTCATTTCAGCCAGGCTGTAGAGCGGATTATAATACTAGTACTATACGGTGGGTTCACCTACTCGCGCGGTGGCCCCCTATGCATGTGGGTCCCAAGGAAGACTGGACCCACTGTCAGTGAAGCGTGTAAGGGAGGCGCTGGTGGAAGACGTGAGTCTGACGGGAAAGCCGTTGCGGCTGCGGCGTCGCGATCCCTTGCTGCCTCCCTTCCCACCGTGGGGAGTAGACTTGGAAGCCAATGGCAGGTGGGGTCCACCTGTCCGTCCGTGCCCGTAATGCCCGTATGCAGGCCAGTACAGTGTCGGGTGTTTGGGGGAGGGCTTAAAAGGGAAGTGGGCCGTATGCCACTACAATTGGAAAAGAGGCCAAGCCCATTTATGTACAACCCACTACCCTCCATCTCCTTTATAGTAGTCTAAACCGGCGGCTTTACAAGTTACAACCGTCGAGTTGGATTCAGATAAGTGTTGTGACTGCATTATTACCCGATCAGGTTGTTTACAGGTGGTAGAGACGATGTAAGATGGGTGCTTTTTGGTAACAACGGCTACGGCAATTTTCTATGAATGCCAGATTTTGATATATGATTTTGTTAAAATCTCTGTTGAGCATTGTAATAGGGAAGCCAATTGTGTGGCACATGTTCTAGCAAATCTTACTTTTTTAAGTTTAGGAATTCTTGTAATTGGTTTGATGAGGCCCATATTTTCTTGTTAACGTTCTAAACGTTCTAGTGAATGTTGTAACAATGTTTGTATATTAATAAAGCACGCCAAATGATTCCCTAAAAGAAGTGTTGTGACAGTATTCTGAGAACTGTACGTAATCTCAGCCATTTATTTTTATGATCGATGGTTTAGATTTACTGTTACAGTAACAGCATGAATAGTATCCCTTGCTACGATGTTTTTGCTATAGTACGATGATGAACAGTGTGATCACAGTCTGGATCGTCCGATTTGCATCCGTTGATGAGAACTGCAGTCAGATCCGGATCCCGTCCAGGTGCGGTGAGCACAGCGATGTTTTGTTTCTGGCCGGCAAAAATCTCAATCTTTTCATGTTTCTTTTCAACGATCAATCGATCATGCGTTGCAAGAGGCAGCCCTTGTTGTTGTTTTTTTAATTAATCTGAACAAACAAACTGCATTTGTGCTCGTGCAGTGCATGCATGCTCGCTTGGGCGACCCCAAGGGCCATCCTCAATCAGCTAAAATGCTCCATTATATGATCGATCAAGGCAGGAAAATGGCATTAGTCAGTCTACAATGAAAAAGCAAGCAGGGATCAGAGAAAGCGAGAGAGAGAGACCAGTGGCATGATACAACAACATAGAGTGGAGAATGAGATGGTAAAGCAGAGATGGAGCAGAACACAAAGATATGGGCAGGCAGCAGCAGCCAGCCAGAATTCGGGATAAGATTGATAAAACCGAAAGAGGGATTAGAGTGGTGCCTTTCGTGTGGACGCCATGCTTATCCCGCACTATATCTACATATCTATATGTGCTTGCCTATTATTAATCCTCTATTGTGTCTGTCTGAACTCTTAACCCCTAATCAATCTGATCACTTGATTACCAATTGATGATCCATGGCGCGTGATGGCGGCTAGCTCGATCATCATCATTCTTAATTTACTCTGATTGCTAGCTCTTTCCACACGCCGTTCTTCCGGTCGGCTGTTTGGGCGAGCCGTTGCTTGCAGCAGCTACGTACCATTTCTCTGATCGACCTATGGTCCAGTGGCTGCCGATTCAGCACTCACTAGATCTCGCCCGATTTTTCACGAATAATCAATACAACAAATCTCTCCACTAGATTGTTTTTATTTCTCCATAATCTCCAACATACATGGATGATGGATGAGTGCCATCGAGTAGCGTACCTAACATCTTGACCTGCTCTGCTGCACTTTGTCATCGTCCTCTTCGTTTTCTTTGAAAACTCTTGTCTTCTCTTCTTCTTCTGTCGTTGATCTTTGCCCATGGCAGGGAGTCCATCGAGCTGCCTTTTCTTCTTCATCTTTTTTTCCATTTGCAAAGTTGTGTTTCCGTTCACCACTTGTCATCTTTCCCTCCAAAAGTTCATGTCTAATGTCCGCTCAAAGCTTTTTTCCTTTATTTTTTGCTCGGATAAAAAAAGACAACAGTCTCCACGAGAGGGATGCCTGCAATTTGATTAATTTAACTGATTTGCATTGCACACCTTGACATTAATTTTTGTACTACTACATACATTTTGACTAATATAAATATGTATAGTTTTTTTCTTCTCTTCTGTGAGGGAAGCAAGATGAGAGCAAGCAGATTCGTCCATTGGGCTCGATCGAAGCCGTTCTAGAATTAATACAGACCGGTGTCTTTTCTTTCTTTAATTTGTTCCTTCTTGGATTCTCATGTTAAAAAAAGTGCAATTCCACTCCCAAGCACTGGCCGTAAATATGAAGTGACAATTAAGGAAATAATGAGGTTTCATCCGACAAGGAGAACATTCCCCTGTCAACTTAACCGAATCCCGCACACTTTGACTGTATGAGCTAGCTAGCTACAATTGTTTTCAGTATACCGTACCGTCTTTAGGAATTTAAAGCCCTGGTGTAGTGGCGTGAAATAAAAAAAGATGTCTTAAAATTGAAAAACTCATATAGACAAAGAATATTTATATAACTTCGATATATATGTAATTGCTTACAACGTTAAGGTAGTGTTAATTTAAGGTGGGCTTTTCTCTGATTCTAAGTATAGTACTTCATCTACCAGTAGTAAATTGAGCTAGCAACATGCATGATCTTCAATGCATGGCATATGCTCCTTTACTTTGAAATGCATATAGGAGGAGTATATGCTAAAGAGAGCGCATATGTTGCACAGTGAAACTAATGTAATCATTTCATTCAGGTACAATTAATGGCAAACGAGTCGATCTTCTGCTTAGAGTAGTCCACCAAATGTAGTAAGTTAAGGTACGAGAGGCCTCTTTTGTCTTCAAGGGATCTTGCACAGTTACCTTGAAGCTGAAATTAAGCATCATCTAGTACGTGCTAGGCACTTACTATATGGCTTGCACTCCATGGTGTTCAGAAGTCAGAACAGGGAATCGATCAGTGCAATCGACTGGTATGACAAATTTCACTGAACAGTACAGTTTGAAGATATAAATGCATGGGAAATTTATTATATTATTAAAGGAATAGAAAAAGGAGCCTCCACGTTCGCTCTCATGACCTGGAAATTCTCACATTAATCGGAGAAAAAGAAAAGGCAGAATCCATATAGAAATACAATTTAGAAATAGCTAAAATTCTAAATTTAAAAAATAAGGAATATTAGAAGAGGAGACTAGAGTCCATATAGAAATACAATTTAGAAATAATTGAAATTCAGAATTAAAAAATAAGAAATATTAGAAGAGGAGACTAGAGTCCATATAAAAATACAATTAGAAAATAACTGAAATTCGGAATTAAAAACAAGGAATATTAGAAGAGGAGACTAGAGTCCATATAGAAATACAATTATGAAATAACTGAAATTCGGAATTAAAAATAATGAATATTAGAAGTAGAGTATAGAGTCCATATAGAAATACAATTAGGAAATTAGGAAATAATAGAAATTCGGAATTAAAAAAAGGAATATTAGAAGTAGAGTATAGAGGCCATATAGAAATATAATTAAGAAAAAAATAGAAATTCGGAATTAAAAAATAAGGAATATTAGAAGTAGAGTCTAGAGTCTATATAGGTATTTAAAACTAACTAAAATTCGGAATAAACATAATAAAATGAAAAGTAGTGTTTAGAGTCCATATAAAAATGCATTTTATAAATAAATAAAATTCGAAATTAAGAAAAACATGGGAAGAAGAGTTTAAAGACAATATAGGAATACAATTTAGAAGTAACTGAAATTTGAAATTAAAAGTTATTGCAAAATTTAAAATTATGTTGTCATTGTAATATATTTTAATAAAATAATGAGAAAATATATATGCTAAATATATGAGAGAAAATATAATGATGCTAGCCGCGCAATCTGCGCGGGCTACCGTGCTAGTTCTTTTGATTTCTCAAAGGGATGTCCACTCGTTTGCTAAAAAGTATTATCTCCTATCAAAATTCATACAATGTATATACATACAACTTCATAAAATCCTAAATCTATACTCAACTCACATATTGAGAAATAATACCAAAATATGGTAAGGTTTATTTTGGCGACAAATCAAACACATCAGCTGGTTATATATTGGTAATATATATAGCCTATTAAGTAATTGTCAGTTAAGTCAATGAATAATTATTAATATTAGATATAAATGTAATTTGCACATACACAATCGGCAAGCACCGATATTGAAGAATAGGTGACTTTAAATGTTCGTGGAAGGTGGCATCATGTCGAGGAGCAATACAGGGGAGCAAAAGTGAAGGGTGTTGGTCTAGAGAGGTAGATAGCTAAAAAGAGATGGATCGATCATGCATATATAACGATGCACTGCACTGCAGCTAGTGTAGTAGCTTTAAAATTAGTTGGCGACACGCAATAGCCACACCAAAACCTCCTGAAAACCACTATAAAACACGCCAAGAAGCGTGCTCGCCACACTGCCCATCCATCCACTCGATCGATCTCAGCTAATTAATTAAGCTAACAGGCCAGCCAATCAGCCATGGCGGCCATGATGAACAACGAGAGATCAAGCAGCAACAAGCTGCAGGTTGACGCCGAGAACCCGGCGGCGGTGGGCGACGAGCTGGACCTGGCGGCGCGCGCCAACTGGCTGCGGGCGGCGGTGCTGGGCGCGAACGACGGGCTGGTGTCGACGGCGTCGCTGATGCTGGGGGTGGGCGCCGTGAAGGCGGAGGCGCGCGCCATGGTCATCTCCGGCTTCGCGGGCCTCCTGGCGGGCGCCTGCAGCATGGCCATCGGGGAGTTCGTGTCCGTGTGCTCGCAGCGCGATGTGGAGCTGGCGCAGCTGGAGCGCGATGGCAAGCGCGGCGGGGAGGAGGAGAAGGCCCTGCCGAGCCCCGCGCAGGCGGCGGCGGCGTCGGCCATGGCGTTCTCGGTGGGCGCCGTGGTGCCGCTGCTGGCGGCCGGGTTCATCGTCAACTACAGGCTGCGGATCGCGGTGGTGGTGGCGGTGGCGAGCGTGGCGCTGGCGGCGTTCGGGTGCGTGGGCGCGGTGCTGGGGCGGGCGGCGGTGGCGCGGTCGAGCGCGAGGGTGGTGCTCGGTGGGTGGGCCGCCATGGGCATCACCTTCGGCCTCATGAGGCTCTTCAAGGCCAGCGGCATATGATCGATCGATCACTAGCTAGTTAATTAAGCTCTCTGCTCTACTACTAAGTTCATTTTTTTTTAAAACTTACTGCATTAATTAAACTAAACTAAAACTGCATATGCATGTGGACGACGATGATGTTTTGGCGCCATGAGCGCATGATATATACGAGCGCACATGCACGCGTTCTTCGTGTTCGATCTTTCCTCTCCTCCTCGATCTCCTCTGCTTACAAGAGATTGCTTGTCTAGCTGCTCCGGCTGCCTATCGAGGCTAACTAATAGTCGATCGACGACTTTACGTAGCAAAAGTAAAACCATTAAGCCTTGTACTCAGCTCCATACATATATATAATAATAATAATAATAATAATAATCCATGCAAATTACTCCTAAGTTTTTCTTCCTTAAGTTTTTGAAGCTACCAATCGATCTCTGGTTAATTATAATGTTTGCTTCGCGCGCGCGCGCTCTCTCTCTCTCTCTATATATATATATATATCGCCAAATCGATGCCATATATAATTAACACAGCTTGAACATACAGCTGTTACTAATGATCAAGCCATGTATATAGCCTTGGGAACAGCGATTAATGGCAAAACAAAACCAAGCTTTTTTGCTGTGGGCAATCATGCATGCATGCCTGCTCTCGCTTGCTTTTCGCCACATTCCCTTTGAACAGCTAAACTAGTTATATATATCTGGTATTTATTCTAAACCTCATTTCACTCCTTTTCTTTTCTTAAGAAAATAAGAATTTTGTCTTGTCGCCCACTATCTACTACTCCGTTTCGAAATGTTTGACGCCGTTGACTTTTTAACACATGTTTCACCGTTCGTCTTATTAAAAAAATTTAAGTAATTATTAATTTTTTTTCTATCATTTGATTCATTGTTAAATATATTTTTATGTAAGCATATAATTTTACATATTTCACAAAAGTTTTTGAATAAAACGAACGGTCAAACATGTGCTAAAAAGTTAACGGTGTCAAACATTTCGAAACGGAGGGAGTATAACAAAGATATTTTGTTTTCCTTTCCTTTTACCATCGCGGAGATATGGATGTTCTCCATTATATTTGCGAGGACGTCGTGGCTGTTGTTTGATCTGGTTGTGGAGAACGGGCTAATTAACTAGGCCCAGTTTAACTTTTTGTCTAGGAGAAGCCTGAAGGAATGCCTGATCAATGGGCCGGCCCACCTACCCCGCACCCTTCTTTATTAGCATGACGTGAGATATGGCTGACGTGGCCACTGGAGAGGCCGCACCTTGCATACGCATATGGCACAAGAAAAATAATGGGGAATGGACACCAGCAATACAGACAAATGGAAATATTGTGCATTAATTACTACTCTAACTTAATAAAAGTGGAGTTTATTTTACACGAAACTACGTAATAGGTTTACTCACACGTTGTCAGCTATAATTGGTAGGGTTCGTTATTATGGTTATTCACGTAATTGCGCGGGAAATATATCGGTTCATTTAATTATATAGTCGTCATACTAGAATCATAACCTTTTTTTATTATTTTATAAGGACTTCATCCAATTGCGCGGGAAATGGTTCACGGTGCAATCTTGATTATATATCACTCTTATGTTTGCACACAGGTTAGTGGTTGTATAAAGGTTGAGAGGGTGTGCTTTGCATGTGTACACCATCTAGGTTGGAATTTGTCAGCCCGATGCAAAACTTTCTTTAGTCTAACGTACTCTGTTATGTTGATTTTATCAGTATTCCTTTTCTTATTACGCGAACTATGGTAGGCAACTATTGAATATTGGAGTATTACTCATCAAATCGTGGTACATTACGATGCTGTAGTCGTAGGAGTACATAATAACATAAACAAGAAGGACAAAACTAAGATGAACTCAGTTTACATATCTAGAGAAGATATTTCCCTCATTATATTGAACAACTGTTATGACCTTATCTACTCCCTCCGTCCCAAAATATAGTAAGTTTTGGTTGGATGGGACGTATCCTAGTACTACGAATCTAGACATGTCTCATGTCGAGATTCATAGTACTAGGATACATCACATCCAAACAAAAGTTGCTATATATATTTTGGGACGGATGGAGTATGTTTTAGAACCAATTTCATATATAGAGCCATGTAGCCATGTAACCATGTCTTAGGGGGGCACCACAATATAACCATAGCGATTACAATGTAGCGTAGACACGCAGGGAGATGATGGCGGCGTGGTCATGGACTCGTAGCGGCTAGTAGCTATATTGGTTGGAGAAAAATATCCATAATCAAAGCCCTGGGGATGTAAGCTTCAGCTGAACCTCATTAACAAATTAATGTCGTGTGTTCTTATGTCGTCATCTAGCGTGTTTTAGGTGATCAATAACTGAAACGATCGAGAAAGTTAGTCGTCGTTCTGCTGTATCTTTTATAACAGAAATCACCCGATTGATCAATTCCAGAGGCAAGGCGAGTTACAAAAATTATTCGATCTCTCCAGCTACATATTCAATTTATCTTTTAGAAAAATCCATTGCACATTCCCAACTGCTAGCTTAATTATTAGAAAACTGATTAAACCGGTAGAAATAAATTGATGACTTCTAGTAACAACTTCAATAGCTAGAAAACATCGATCAGCAAAGAAACGACAGCAACACTCATCATCTCCAGCTACATGCGTCCATCAGCATCACGGCATCAAGCTAGGGTCAATGCTAGCTCATGCATCGGCAGGAGGAGCCCCAGCAGCAGCGTTGTTGCTGTTACCGTTGTTGATGGCGGCGCCGTTGCCGTTGCTGGCGATGTTGCCGCCGGCAGGTGGCGACGGAGGCGCCTGTTGCTGGTGGTGGCGACGGCGGCGGCGGCGAATGTAGGTGTGGAGCTGGGCGAAGAGCGTTGATCTCCTGGCGTTTGCACGGTTGATCCTCCCAATGATCCTCAGCAGCACAGCAGGGCCCGGGTTGTTTGCTTGGGTGAACCTGAACAGCTGCTCAAGCCTCCTGATCGTCTCATCCAACACCCTGATCTGCATCACACACATTTTCGATCATCACACTTACATCAACACACATATTTATCTGTGTGTAGTACACACAATCATGTATGCATAATTGCATAGACATGCATGATATGTATAGGAGATTTTTTATGGTCCAGCAAATTGTACCGCTCGGTACCAGTACGCATCTACCGTTCGTTTCGGCATGGGTAGGATCGGAAGAGAGTAGCGCCAGCCATGCGTTGAAGCAATCAAGTGGCGGCGAGCGGTGGATTCCGACATACGTTGAAGCAGGCCGCGGCGGCGGCATCGAACTCGTCCTTCCCAGCGACAGCGGCGTTGAAGCAAGCGGCGGCGGTAGCGAACTCGTCGTTCCCGGTGGCGGCGGCGTCGATGTCGTCCTTCCCGGCGGCAGCGGCGTCGATGTCGTCCTTCCCGCGGCGGTAGCGGCGGCGACGTTGAAGCAGGCGACGCCAGCAGCAAACTCGTTGTTCCCGGCGGCGGTGGCGGCGTCGATGTCCTCGTTCCCGGCGGCGGCGGCGGCGGCGGCGATCGATCGAGAATCCCAGCGCTTCTAGGGTTCGAGATGCCCGTCCATCCCTCCCGATCCGGTTATTGCACGTGAAGTTACGTTTTTGCCCTTCCACCTCAGTTCTCCACGTGGTACTGCACAGGGACAGAATTGGTACCGCCGGTACCAAACTCTACCAGCCGTTGGATCGGGCCAGATCCAACGGCCAGGATTTTGGTACCGGGCAGTACCGGTACCGACCGCTGTACCGTAACAACACTCTATGTATAGATATGTTACAGAAACAAAAAAAAAGGATTGATGCAACAAGTAGATAGAAGATGAGATGTGTTACTCATCGTATGAGAGATCTCTCCAAGACTCGGTCGATGTCGTTGATCTGTAGATCACCGTCGCCCTGCAGGCCATGATGGTTGCCGTTGCTGTTGCCGTTAGGAGCGGCGGCGGCGGCGGCCATGATCGATACGAGACCAAACTTACAGTACTGATTGTTACAGATGCAACACTTGTGCTCAAGTTTGAAGATCGAGGGGTGCTAACTGCTGCTTATATAAGCGTTTCTACCAACAAAATAGTTAATAAGGCTAATTAATGTGTGATACACACATATACGTCTGCAGTGACTGGCCACAAGCTGACGACGGTATCCCAAGATTTGTTTTTCCAATCAATGGTAAACATAAATTCCAGAATTGATAAAGATCTCGATTTGATTGCTTTGCTTGATTGAAATCCAAGTGTATATATCGTCAAAATTGCCATCATGTCCCGGCATAGACAATGTTAAAATGCTCCATTTTTATTTCTTTATTTTTTTTAGAAAATGTCATTGATGCAGTTCACAGAAAATTAGTAAGTACATCTAGAACAATCGGTTTCATATTCATTACATTTCTCATGAAACAAAAGAAGATAATCATGAAAGGATGGTTAAGTTCAGGGACATTTTCTAGGTTCCGATGAAGCTATGTGTACCACAGTCCTGATTTTAGTTGAAACTTTGAAATGTTGAAACATGTTTAGTACACTAATAGCAACGTACCCAGTCAATTTTTCAAGAGCATATATCACTTTACATTGGAGGGTACGCATATAGTAATAATAGTGTACATTACATAATTGGATTTTCTCTCTTGTGTGTGCCCCCCCCCCCCCAAAGCGTGCGTGTAGTTTTGTATGTGCGCCCCCCCCCTCCCCCCAGTGCGCGTGTGGTTTTTTTTGTGTGTGTGTTTGGGATGAGGTGGGAGGTAGTGTGTGGGTGTGGGGGATAGAACGTTTATGTATGTGGGTAAAAGTGTATCGTACAATTCTATATATAGAACATATTTGAGAACATATGTATATATGCACGTTTATTTGAATCAATGTAGGTGCGTGGGTAATTTATTTGTTAATCATTCTTTTTTTAAGACAACAAATATAATCAGAAAGAGTCAATTTAACCCATGCACTATCTGTCCACGAAGCACCCGTGCAATTGCGCAGAAAATTTTATTATTTCGAATAAATCCGTGCACTATCTATCTAGCGCGAGATACGTACTCTGACTTCAACAGGAACGGGAGGGAGGAAGAGCTGGACTGAGAAGGGAGGATATGCATCTTCTGACTTTGGCTAGGAGCGGTAACACATAACACGGGAAGGAGAAGAGGCGAGATTGACCTAGGTAACACATGACATGGGAATGAGAAGATGCGAGATTGGAAACGGGATAAGAAACAGAAAATGTGTCGTCCTGTAGCATGGACCTCCCACTTCACGCGTTGTTGTCTGCTGTCACCCGTTGTCGCCCGTCCGTTGCAACCGACGAGCCATCCTCCCTCGCTTTTGCTGCCGCCCCCGCTACCGCCCGCATCAGCTTGCCAATGTTAGAGCAAGGATAATAGTGGGCTATAAACAAGCTATATGCTTATGTGGAAGAGAGAGATAAATAAAAGTGTGGAGTGTTGGCTCTCATGCAAGAGCTAACTGCACACAAACTCTAAGAAATATGTATTAAATTCATGGTGAGAGAAAGAGAGAGGATGAAGAAAATAAAGATAGCCTTATAGCCAACCTGCTATACATGTTAGCTTTAACATTGACTAATAGTAACTAGTGAGCTCTACTATTAAACTTGCTCTTAGCCTCCTGTTACCGTTTGTTGACGTCGTCCTCCCGCTGCCAATGATGCCATCCCTTGCAGCCGTCGGTCTCCTACTGCCGCCGATGCCACCCGCGCTGGCCTCCTAGTGTAGTTCCCCGCGTCGGATGTCACCTCCCGCCATCAGCTACTCGACGCCGGATCTAGCCGTGGGGGCACCGGATCTGGTCGGTGCAGCACTAGATCCACCACCTCACGCCAGAGTTCGCTGTCGTAGCCCCTCCGGCTTCCCAAGCTCCACGTAGCCTCCCTCGCGTCGGAGACGGAGTGTCGCGGAGGTCTAGCCAGAATTTTCACAAAAGAATTTAGTAATAAATCCAAAATTTATAGTTTTGCAGGGTAAAAAAAAACACAATAAAACTTTCATTATATGTCATCAAGCAATCATTTTAATAGTTCATCCAGAAAATAATTTTAATAAAGTAGAAGTGATTTAGAAGTTAAAATGGGAATAACTTTGTATCGGACAGCATCTAATGGACGGAACTAAATCAATATATTAACCTTGATGTTTTATTTTTTTTTTCGATGGGATCACAAAAGAAGAGTATGAGCTCTGCGATGGGTTTTTGCGGAATGGGGGCCAACGCGTTTGTGCACACTTCTCAGCACGTGGTTTGACCTGCTATAATCGGACGGGTGAGATAAGAGTTGCAAGATTAGACCAACCAGTGACGGTGAGATTAGAGCTACACGATTAAAATAAGGATGTGACTACACAGCGAGTGGTAGCTGTATTGTCTAAACCAGCTACCACTCCATATATGAGAGACCCTATCCACCTATACTTCAAATAAAAATTTTTCTTAAACTACTTATCCGATCTACGATCCGATTACACCGTTGTGTTCATAACAATTAAATCTTTATAACAAGATCTCACATGATTATATTTTGATGAAAAAACATAAATTACTTTTATAGTATATCTAAATTACTTTTAGATTTCACTAAATTACTTCTTAGACATATAAAAATAAATTCAATAAAACCTAAAATTAATTTGCATATATTATAGAAGTAACTTATAACAAAAGGAGTGTAACTTTAATGCATGTCTTTTTTTTATTGGACGTGACTACACAGATAGTGGTAGCTGGTTTGTACTCCATCTCCTTTGAACTTGAAAAATGTAATAATATGTATCTTTTTTAATTTCTTTAATAACTTATATCTTTTTAAAAAGGTACACTGGTGGGCAAATGCCTGGTAGTATTCATTTCAAAAAAAACTTATGTCTTTTAGATCACATATTACTTCTAATGTCGTGATAAAGTTACTTCCATTTTGTTTTAAGTTACTTTTATAATATATGTAAATTACTTTTAGACTTTATTGAATTTACTTTTATATGACTAAGAAATAATTTAGTCATATCTAAAAGTAACTTATATATATATGATAAAAGTAACTTACATATATAATAAAAGTAATTTATAAATATAAATATTTTTTCATCGTAATATAATCATGCAAGATCTTGTTGTGAAGATTTAATTGTAACGAATACAATGGTGTAATCGGATTATAGATCGGATAAGTAATTTAAGAGAAAACTTTATTTGAATAGGAAAAAGATATACATGTCTATTGAGAAATAAGGCACACACTATATCAATCCTTCTCGTTGCGCCATTACAGCGTGGCCACGTGGATGGACGATAGGCGCGATCGATCGGCTATGAAACGCGTCGCGTGATACGACTAAAGCGAGAAGCCTCTCAGTTTAGATTTTATGTTAAAACAACTAGTGCACACCGTTTAGATTTTCATAAATTCATACAGAGAATCGATGGTCGACGCTCTAGCAAAATCATCGCACTACAATTAGGGTGTGTTTTAGAATTGAAAAAAATAATAAAAGGGATGTGCTTCTGTGCTCTGGAAAAAAAAAACTTGCACTTAATTAAAAGGGAGATTAGCACTTAATTATCATTAGTGAGGGGGTAATTTCGTGCAAAGATTTTCGAGCCCATATCCAGCTCAGTCCATCTGAAGCGATCCCCACCCCCTACTAACGGCACCGCCACGCCGATTTTCGCCTTGCCGTCGCTGCTCTGCCCTCTTCTTCAGTTAAAAGGATATCTGAGTAGCTATGGCCTGAGTGACAGTAAATTCAGTTTCAGCCTTAAATTGTCTCCTCAAAGATTTGCCTTCAAGTTACAGAACAGAGTCAATACCTTATTGCTGCAACCCGACTTGCAAATTTGGTTGTACATATTTACAAGCACCATGAAAACCTCATATGCAGTCTCAGCGCTGCCACTTTTCAATAGAATTGAGAGAATGGCATTCGCAATAGGTGACGATGGTTGGCGACGCGCCGACGCGCGGGTTGTGGAGGACGATGCAGCACCGACGGTGGCGGAGGGAGGCAGGAAGCAGCGTGGGGAGGGAGCCGGGCGGCAAGGCGGCGTTGCGAGGGGAAGAAGAGGGCAGAGCAACGGTGGCAAGGCGAAAATCAGCGCGGCGGTGCGGTTGAGGACGGCGCCGTGGTGGACTGATGGGGGTGGGGATCGGACTGGGCTGGATATGGGCTCGAAAATCTTTAGACGAAATTACCCCTCGCTAATGATAATTAAGTGCTAATCTCCCTTTTAATCACAGCCACTGATTCGCTTTAACTTTCGTGCAAGTTTTTTTTTCGGAGCATAGAAGCACATCCCGTAATAAAAAGATTGATAATATACACAACACAAGATAAGTCACTAGTACATATAATTAATTAAGTATTTAATTATATCAAACTTGAAAATGGATTAAATTTTTTAAAACTTTTCTATAGGAAAATTTTGAAGGAAAAAAAGCACTATTTAACCTTCAGGAAGCGTAAGTGTAAAAAACGAGGGATTTTTCTCCCCCTTGTGCTTTTCTCAAACACAGCCTTAGAGCAGATAGAAATAATATAACAAGAACAGTAATTCATGTCAATAAACGATCCGGAGGGACAGAAGCATGACACAGAACAAATTCATGTCTGCCCAAACTTCACTTATTCATAATTTGTAAGTATGAAACCACATGCAAATTGATACACAGCTGGAGGGTAAAGGAAATCATAGCCAGCCCCATAGCACTCCATTTTTGTGAACAAAGTCTCTACTCCAGTTTTGCAGTTGGCACAAATACAATATTTTCACGATAAAGATCGGGTAGCACTCTACTGCCTCAAGCTTTGCAAGATATATTGCGCATACAGGTCCCTGAGATTAAATAAACAAAAATATGTGTCAATATATGCCAAAAGGAATAGTGGTATCTTCATACCTATTCCACAACACACACAATCACATCTTGTTATGGACTTATATTTCACTGCAGAACAGAGAACTTACATGGAGTACTGAATGGCGTCACGAGCAGTGTTGGCAGGCAAGAATGCATCAACAGCAACCTCCTTGTTCTCATTCTTCTTGTCTAAAAACATATTGTTAAGGACAATAACAGATGTATGCATGACCAATACTATACTATATGGGATATGCAATTTAAACCATAAAACGGACTATGAGGATACAGTCTTCAAAGAAGCGTTTAATCTCTTGGAGGCGGTGAGGAGACAGCTCACTGATGTCATTGTAATGACGGTATTCAGGATCATCAGCACATACTGCTATTATCTTGTCATCCTTCTCACCCTGATCACAAAATCCAATATCGTCAGTAAAAAAAAAACAAAACAAAAAGAGTGAACCCGTGCAGGTCTTTTTCCCTTTGCTACAAACAGAACAGTAGAAAATATACCTGGTCAATCATGGGCATAAGGCCAATTGCTCTAGCACGGAGGAAGGAACCAGGAATAACAGGCTCCTGTGTGGATTAAAAGAACACATTACCACGAGATAATGGCACAATATATTCCACACTGTAGTAAAAAAGAGAATGGTTTTGAGGTGCAACTAAAAAACTACTGGTGCTTGTTCAAAAGTGTCAATGCCAAAGGACTTGCAGGCTGATCCCCTGCTCTCAGACACTATCAGTTAATAATGCAAAGGACTGTTTTGCATGTTTAAAAGAAAAGAAGCACAATGGAGTTACCTGCATCAGGACCAGAACATCCATTGGATCATTGTCTTCACAAAGTGTCCTTGGAATGAAACCATAATTATGGGGATACACAACTGATGAGTATAGGACACGGTCGACCTGTCAAATTATGAAGCACAGTTACAAAAATGTAATATTCTTTGACAAGAATAAACTCCTACAGCTTACAAATGCAGACCTATCAAATAATACAACACAGTAACACAAGTACATGGTGGTGGTGCATACTTTTAATTCCTTACGTAAGTACACAAAAAATAATTATGAAATTAGTCCATATTGTTCTTGAAATAGAGTTGTGGTAATGATATGCAAGCAATCATTTTACAAATAGAACACACACCTTAATCAGTCCAGTTTTCTTGTCAAGCTCATATTTCACTTTGCTTCCCTTGGTGATCTCAACAACCTGTGGTGTGATATAAATGGAAGCCATTAACCATGTAGGTTGCATGCACTGTCAGGAACCGACTGTAGATAAAGCTTCTAGAATCGTTAAACAGAACAATCAAAACCACTCGACACACTTGTTTTGACTCATAAGCAATTGTTTCCCAGCAGACTAACATTCCTTGTTGTTTACCCCCACAAAAAAAAAATCCTTGTTGTTTGCACCAGAATCAAATATCAGTAAAGTTAAAATATTCAGTGAAAATCTTAATAGTAGAAAAAGGGGGAAAGGTGAAATTCACAACGTGCCCATGAGTCTACTAGTGGTTCTATTTTAATTCGAATCAAAATCCTAGCTACAATTTATCCAAAGGTATAAACAGTTCAAGAAGCATAAAATTCCCATGGCAGCATATGGCTACACCTACCAGTCTGCCACCTAATACACATCATCCTGCTACTACCAAGATTTACAGAAGGCACATGCTGCGCCCACAAAAGATAGATGCTTGATGCCATGATATCAACAAAGTTGCTGAGAAACTGATGGAGATCAGCAGAAGGTTTAGAAATGTTAAGAACTTATAAATGTAAGTACTTTTCCAACTAGGTTTATTTATGATTGGCATCTGTTGTTCCATGGCTTGATCAATCCACTTAAAGTTCCAGGTTTGGTGCAATACCAAGGATGTTGCAACTGTCTTTAATTTTTGTTTAACTTAAATTCAGTGGCCCCCATTCTCTTGCCTGATTAAATTGGTATGAAGAGCTGAATTCTAATTATTCATTCATCATGCTCTTTGCCTGGTGAGTGAATTTCTTTATTCCTTGAGAGTGTCATGTTACTTCTTTGTAACTGGAAAGTACAACACCTATTGAACTGTAAATTTAGCAAACACCAAAAGCTGTCGCGGACCTCTACAGAGTCGATATTAATTGGACAGATATTATTTCCGATTTCAACATGTTTCAACCCGTCTAGCGGCAAAATTGTGCAGCCTACAGCCCGCCAAGGAAACTTATTTTGCACGCACTCTGGCATCATATGTATAGGTAAAGGCAGAGATGACACTTACAACGTTGAAGACAGCAGGAGCACCAGGGCCTGTTGAACCAAATTAAGTGAGATGATGCATGCCACATAGTGTTGTGGGTGAGCCATAAAGAGAGATGGGAAAGACAGTTCCATACCGATCTCAAGATCATGCCACGGATGTGCAGCTACTGATCTCCTCGACAAGGAGGACAGGATCCTCTCGTTGAGCTTAGGGGCGCGCCTGGGCTGCCCAGCAGCAGCATTGGTGTCCTCTTCACTCATCCTCCTATGATCATATCATAATAGGAACCATAGATCAAGCATCAATATAGCTGCTATCAGAATGAAAAAAAAAATATATTTTTAATTAGCTTGAGCTGCAGCCTAGCAGGTCGAGCAAACATCTAGCAAAAAGCAGAGTTGCAACTTGCAAAGTTGCTTTCTTTTCCCCTACCGGAACTAAATACAGTCAAGCTGTATACAGTATACAACCCCCTGACCTGAGGCTAACATCCATGAGATGAGCATCCGAACAAGATACAGTCGTTGATCCGATTGATCTTAACACCTACCTACTACACTCAGATCAGATCCAGGGTCATGTATGAACCCCACCCAATCCCTTTGGAAGCAGAAACCAAATCCGCAACAAACTAAACTCGATGTAATATAGCTTCCGCTCAGATTGGACGCAACCCACAGAAAATAAATCCAAGTCCTGAGAAATAGCGCGGATGAGGAGGGGGAAGGGAGAGGATACCTTGGATTGGAGTGGCGGCTGAAGGGGTGGAAGGTGGCGGCGGCGGCGAAGAAGAAGAAGAAATGAAATGATTCCCTGCACTGCACTGCACCCTCCGTCTGAGGAAACAGTATTAAAGACGGGTGGGATGACAATTTCTACTTAACTCCCTCCTTCCAACGTTTTAATACAAAATGAGCCCCTAATGGAAGTACTTGTGCTAAGGCTAGTGCGCGTCTTGTGTGCCAATCTTTGGACTGGGAGCTCCCATGTTTTGGCAGCAAGTGGGAATATCCAATATCGCCCCTGAACTTTATATACTCATCACTAAGGGAGAAACTTTTTATTCTTTCTTTGTGATGGTAGAAAATCATGTCCCTTTCAAGGCTTTTGTTTTAAAATGTTTTATTTGAGAGGAATTGCTTGAAATTACTTGCACCTGCTCAACTAGTACACTACTGAATTAAAGTTGACCTGATGCGGTTTGTGTTGGTCATCGCATTCGCAGACAGGCCGATCAACATTCGAAAAAGGGCTCGGGACATTGCCTGCCGAGTTGGTTGGTAGTACAGTGTTCCAATCGATCCCCATGTCCATCCATGTGGGCTCTTGTTTGACAGCGCCAAGCTCAGTTCAAGTGGATTCGATTAGATCGCGATTCCATATTTCCATGCCGTTTTGGAGTTAACTCGGTTTTTGGTCGGTCACACAGGTAAACTAGAAGGCAGGTTGACCGCTCCAAGCTGCATAGTCCTTCTCACGATGCTCTTTTCTGATCCTCAAGACGCTCGAGCATCCAATGCTCTCTTCTGTTGTCCGTAGTACTTCTACTCAGCTATCTCAGCTACAAGAGTGGATATCACACAGAATTTTGACTGCGTTTGTTCGTGTGATATAGGGGTGCGTTTTTTTACAAAAATTTTCTATAGGAAAGTTACTTTAAAAAGTCATATTAATCTATTTTTGATATTTAAAATAGTTAATACTCAATTAATCATGCGCTAATGGCTCACCTCGTTTTGCATATCTTCCCAATCTCCTTTTCCTCAAACACACCCTTATACTCTAGTAGTAAATTATTAGGATTTTTTTTATCTTATTTTCTTTCTTTCTTGCTTGCTTGTGTGGAAATGTGAAAATTGAGCGTCTCGCTTACAAATATTACAAAAGTATGGGCGAAATGAAGAAGCAAAACGGCAACGGAAAAAAAATGAAACAAAAAGAAGGTATAGTGGTCACCGTTGTGCCAGTAGGTACTAGACCTTTTCATGTCGTGATTCAGCAACGTTGTTGGAGACTCGAGTGGAGAAGGCGTTGTTGGAGTGCAGCCTGTCGCCATAAGATTGGAGGAAACGCGCAGTTTGTCAGTGTGCGGTGTGCCTGAGTTGCGGCTCAACTTGAGACGACGTCCGAGGTAAAGAAAGCGTCGACAGACGTTGCCGGCTCACAACGGAGGTGGAGGTAGGTATGAAAACGGAGCGGATAGTTTTTAGATATTTTGGATACGGATACGAATACGAATATTTTTTCCCGGATACGAATACGAATATGATATCAGGGTTTCCGTCGGATACGGATAATATTTCGGATATCCGGTGAACAGTGCTATTCGGATATCCGCAAGACCCATGAGACATACCTCATTTCTTTCTAACTCTATAACCTTCAATATACCTTTATAGATTTTAATAGTAGTTTATCTCTTAACACTAGTCCATACTATTAATATTATTTAAATTTTAAGAAATATTTATAAATTATACCTCATTTTATATAAAATGAGCTAATTATATATGTTGATATTTGTTTCTATTAGAAGTTGAGTTGGTTTTCGTGTTCCGAGAAAAATTTGTTTCCATATTCGTGTCCGATCACATTCGATTCTTATTCGTATTCGAGATAATCCGTATTTGTTTCCGTATTCGAGCTATCCATATTCGTTTTTGTATCCGGTAAAAAAAAATGAAAACGAATATGGTATGAGAATTATCCGACCGTATCCGCTCCGTTTTCATCCTTAGGTGGAGGCAGAGACGGCGGCCCAATGGGACGGATTCGTCGCAAAGAAGGTAAAGGCGGGGACGTCATTTGAGTTGGGTAGAGTCGCCACCACCTATTGCGGACATCGGGATTAGACGGTGTCGCAGCGCTAGGTAAAGATATAGGTATTTGGTATGCTTGTGTAATGTATCGAACTGTTAATGGGCCTATTGGACCTGCTGGGAGTAATTCAGTCAATCTAGTTAACTGAGGTTGGTAATTGAATAAAATTCGGTTAGTTAGATCGTAAGATCAAATCAGTGGCCGAGTTTTTTAATTTTACAAGGATGCCACTTGAACGATAATTTTGACGATATTTTTGTAATTTTATAGCGGTAATCTTATAATAACGATTCAAACCAATAATAAATTTATAATTGCCCCCTTTTTTTCCACCACTGGGTTATAGATTGAGATCCTAGCGAGTTGGTTATGATAAACTTTTCCACAAGTGATCGAGAGAGAGAGAGAGAGATGGTACAGTGACCGTGCTAGTAGTCCAATTCTCATGCCCCCATGTGGGCTCATTCATGTTTGACAGCAGCAGGCTTTGCCTCCTCACTCCTGACTATAGATAGATAGCTCGACCATACTAGTACTATACTGTACTGTATATCGATTCGATTGCGATTGCGATTCCATGGCGTTTTGGACTCAAACTCGGTTTTTTCGGTCGGTCGGTCACACAGGTAACAACAGCCAAGTTTACTGCTCCAGGGAGGCTCGCAAATAATTACACGACGCTCGAGCATCCAATGCAGTGCTCTCTCTTCTACTACTCTTCCTTACCTAGCTAGTACTCCTACTTGCCCATCTCAGCTAGTACAAGCGTGGAGATGGATCATACACAGAATTTATACTCCAGTACTAGTCGTAAATTAATTATCATCTTGTCTTATTTCTTTCTACAAGGCGATCGAGTACTTGCTTGCTTACAGTTACAGACACTAGAAAAGTACTCCATGGGCGAAATGAAGAGGTAAAACAGCAGCGAATGGAACAGAAAGGAAGCATGGTGGTGGTCGTCGTGGCATGGATGGCGTCTAGTGTTAGTAGCAACTCTTCTCATTATTACTGTACTGGCCATCAGCTTTTGCTGCTAACGCTAATAGCCTCTCTCATCTCAGTATATTCATCAGTAAAAAGCAATGGACTGCTGCTTGTGCAGGTGAGGGAGTGAGCGAGCACTATACTAGTAGTGGTAAGAGAAGAGAGAAATCTAAGAGAGAGAGAGAGAGAGAGATGGATCATCACCAGCACCACGAGCAGCAGCAGCAGCGGATGGTGGCAGCATGCGGATGGGGATGGCGATGGGCGAGGCGTACGTCGGGGGGCAGGCAGCCGGGTGGTGGCCGCGGGCCGGCGGCGGCGCAGGCGCTGGGGGCGGTGGTGCAGCTGCACTTCGACCCGCCGCTGGCGCCGCCGCGGGCGGCGGACGCGCAGAAGCAGGAGCTGTGGCGCCTCTTCCTCGCCTTCTTCCTCTTCCTCGCCATCCTCCTCTCCGCCGTCGCACCAAGTCCCCGCCGAGTCCCGCCTCCATGTGCCGCCACCTTCTGGCCCCCGCCGGCCTCCTCTCCCTCGCCCACCTCGCCTTCTACGCCGCCGTCGCACACCACCTCCGATGCCTCAACGGATTCAGGTCGCTCTAATTGCCTCTTGCTTAATTTGCTTGCTACTACTTAATTACTTGCTTACTTACTTAGCAGCAATTAATGGCGCGCGAATGAATATACTAGGTACCAGCGGCGTTGCCACAAGCTGACCCTGGCGCTGGCGGCGGACAGGCTGCGGATGCTCAAGTCCGGCGGCGACGTGGTGGCGGCCGCCGACGTGGAGGTGCCGTACCAGGAGCCGCCCGAGAGCTACCTGGCCAAGTTCAAGCGCAGCTGGGCCATCCACTTCGCCTTCCTCATCACCACCTTCGCCTTCTCCGTCGCCGCCGCCGTCGCCATCCTCTGCTTCTAGCTCTCAGATCTCCTCTCAACTGGACTACTCCTCCAATCCAATCTTACTAGTAGGAGATTTTGATTGATCATCAGATCAGATGATGGAAGAGTCGTTCGTTGTTTATCTCTACTGTAATCCCTCCCTCTCTTTCTCTTTCTTGTCGTATTCATTGTGATTTATTAGTAGAATGTTCTATGTTAATTGCCCTTCAGCGAGAGGCCCTCACATGCATTATCTCAATTGTCAGCCAGTGTCACATTCACTCGCTCAAATCGCGGCAGCAGCCAGCAGCCACTGTGGCAAAAGCAACTGTATTTATCCTTAACTACAGTATCTAGTACTATGATCTCTCTTGGAGATTGGTTAGTTTGTGAGTAAAAGCTGCCAAGCTTGTTGCTATCATTATTGATGTTTATGCAACCAACGTCGCTTTTAAGTACCACGGCGACGATTTCATTGTACCAATAGTACATATTTCTTGGTTCCAGTCCTGCTTTCTCCCGGCCAAATCATAACATAAACCCAAAGACAACATGACGCCACATCGTCCAGACAATTGTTTAGGTTAATCAAATCGTCATTAGTTAGAGCTTGTTACACAGTGCCGCACAACACATGACACAAGAAGAAACGGCAAACACAGGTGATAGGCTCTTCAATCAACTTTTCTCATATTGTTTGTGTAAAAGTGTGTTTCTGTGAACAGTGTTTGTTTTATTCGCTCAAGGAATAGGAAATCAAATCAAATGAAGGAATAGATGTTTGTTACAGTGATTAGTAGTACGTACATGTTTGTTACAACAGCACAAATCCCCTTCCTTCTCTGAGCTTGGTGAGTTGGTGAACTGAATGTGTCATCCGATTGATGCTCTGAAACAATGCAGCAGCTTCATGCTTGGCCTTGTCAGCTACAAGCCTTGAAATGCTGTTGCTGCGAGTTCACAGCCTCCAGCAACTGCAAGCTTGAACCACCATCGATGCAAGAGGAAAGCTAAGCAGCCTTGAGGACATTGCAGATAGAATTGTATGCGTTGACACAAAGCTTAAACTTCTCTTCGGCCACGGCCTGGGCACATGTAAAACAGAGTATGCAGTTATACCCTCTGTTTAGTGTTTACCAACTTACCATCCGTTGTTTTGCACATTGATTTGTTACAGACCAATCAGTACATTGGCTGCATCAAGACAATGTCGTATGCTGTTGTTTACTCCAAATCAAACAAGAAGGAAAGGGTTACCTGTGATGAGCCTGGGTGCTTGTCAGGGTGCCACCTCAGAGCAGATGCCCGGAAACTGCACACCGAAAGTAATTCAGGTGAACGCTAGTGGAGCACCTACTTGTAGTGCCATACAGAAATGGTAGTGATAGCAAGACAATAATTCGAGGAATGGTACAAAAATTCACAACTTACGCAGTTTTGACAGCATCTAGAGTTAGTGGACCACAAGCTGGTAGTCCAAGAATAGCCCGGTGTGCATGTGACCCAATGTTGGTTGTTTCATCCTCATTTTCATCGTCACTATCGCTACAAACTCTTTCTCTCTTCGATTCACCAGTCCTTCGAAATCTGGACGATGAATCTCTGAAGCTAAAACTCTCCCACGATATATGGGACCAGGTAAAACGATGATTCTCACCGAACATGTCTTCAAAGATTTTGTCAGGATGCACATAATACTCCTCACGGAAGAAATTGTAGAACCTCTCCCTGTCTTTTTTACCTGCAAAATATTATAAGAACATTCTCACCTATGTGACATTTATGGTGTTCTGTAAACTAATTTGAAGTGATCTGAGTGGGTCACAGCAACAGCACAAATCCATGTGACACAACAAACTGCAGTCGAATTATGCATGCTCTGCAGGTCACTAAAATATGAAGTATGAACAGACCAGTATGTTTTTGCACCATTTTCAAGTCAATAAATAACATCCTGATATGTGCAGTTACAGATATGCAGAAAAGGTAATAGCAGAAATAACATAGCAAAAAGCCTAGAGCTGCATTTGGTTTAAGGAGCAGGGTTAATATGTCGGTTAGGGGTTCAACCCACACAGACACCTCCTACTCCTCAACTTAACCAGTTCAGACTTGTAATCATACTAATGCATGATAAAGTTAACCGACCACGGATGACCTTAAGATACCACTGGAGCGGCAGATAAATTATGAATGCGATACATGATAGTATGATACATCAGAGATGCTCAAAACCAGACGAATAGATTCAAGTGAAGGTAGTACGCGTCTATTTTCGTTTTGGAAGAGGAACATACATTTTCTGTGATGGTGTACACCTTGTCGCGACTTTGTTGAGCCATGAGACTGAGATCCTTTCCTAAAGGTTTTGAATCGTGGGATATCATGCGAATTAGCAAAGCTGCCCGTACTTCCACCCTGGATAAACACATGTAATATTGCGACATCAAATGTTATTGGTTGTTTTTGCAAATATCTTATCCTAAAAGAAATAAAGTATTACCATCAAAAGCTTTTTGAAGAGTAAATAGATTATTTGTGCTAGTTAGAGGAAGGACAAAAATCTGGAAATGACAACTCAAAACAGAAATTCTCACCTGTAAATGAGGTGAACTCTTTCCAAATAGAAGATAATCTTTTAGGGCCTTTTTACCTTCTGCTCGTTTTTGACGAACAACATACCTCTCGTAGTTCTGTTGCAAAATTATTTGTCAGAACAATCGTCTTACTGAGAGTTTGGAAGGTCAAAAGTATTGCAAGAATGAAACAAAAGTATTGCATTATCAACATTCAGAAGCATAATCAATGTGGCTTATATAATAGGAAGGGCAGAAAATATTGATATTATTGATAAGATAAATAAAAGGCCAGCTACTCGTGTGCTACAGTTCCTTAACATAATTCGGCTTGGCTACTTGCCAACCCCTCTAGAAGATCAATATTATACTTGTTTTAACCATAGTCACAGGAAACGGGGTCGGTGGCAGCGATCCTCGACCCGGGAACGCCGTCCCCGTCCCGAAAACGCGGGGTCATTTTCGTCCCCACCTTGTAAAAACCTCTCGCAAGTAGCGTATCACGTTCCTCGACCCCATTCCTTGATCCCATCGACCCAGGAACTTTGTGACTATGGTTTTAACAAAACCATATTTTGGTAGTCCAGCTAGAAAACCATAAAATTTAATTGAAGGAAAAAGGTTTTGATTATTCATATGAGAAAGCAGGTACCCTGAAGAAAAATGTCAAATTAATAAAATACATCTGAGAACCATTCCTTGTGGCACCTATTAGTATCATAATGGAGCACTGATATTGAATACACTAGTTCTTTTCTTGCATCAAGCATCAACCCAAACTGCTAATTTGAGTTTCTGTCTTTCGAGAGAGTTGACGTTAACAATTAATCAGTTCCATCAGGTGGTCGGTACAAAGGAAGATATCAAATCATACCTTGGATAGCTTCCGCGCTCCATGTTCATGCTGAATAATGCATTGGCAGCAAGAAGATTGTGTTAGCACACAAGCTATGCATATAGGGAAAAAGGCAAAACATGAATGATGTAAATCGTATTTATCACACTATCAAGTAAAATGGTCGTGATTCTAGAGACAATGAACCCAATGTTCATGATCACTTATTGATATCATTGACATGGTCTAGTTACTTAAAATGTTATTGCAATTATGACGTAACAGTATAGATATTTTGAATGTCTATGGGCAAACTAGATATGTGTGTTCTTTCTTACTAAAACTAACGAGGCATAATCCATGGCCTTATGGCTTGTTCCAGATTCCAAGTTTGGCAATTAAGTGTTTGGCTGGGTATTGTAGCATCCCATTGAGAATTTGAGATGCTTTGGTTTGGGAACTGAAAATACCAAGTTGCAGAATAAGCATCGATCGATTAGCACAGTTGAAAGTACCTTAACAGAATCGGAGTAGCCGGGCATTTCTAAAGCCTAATATCAAAGAGCAGCACGGGCACGAAAGCCGCCGGGTATGTTCCTTACTCCTGTGATTACAGGTTGCAATCCGGTGAGCTCAGTGCCATTTCTTTGGGCACATTGTGCACATGGTGAATGAATCGGTTGGTGTGGGTGGAATAGACCAACTGGATTATCACTTATGCTCTCATTCTGGCCACATGACATTGCTTGCAGCGCATCTTTATCCTCGCCTAACAAGATGTTGGACAGGATTCCGAAACGGGTAGGGGGGGGGGGGGGGGAAGGAGAAAGGGGGAGGGAGGGAAAGAAAGGACCTTGCAATCGAACTTGTCCTTCCACTTGGCGGAGGAGACGGGTGTGGAGTGGAAGGAGGACGCGGCGAGACGCGTGGGATCGACGAGGAGGTGGGTCGTCCGTAGCACGGCCCTCCATGGCGCCGCGGCGGCCTGCATCGTAGCGGAGAAGAGGGGAACGGATATGGTGGAGAAGCAAAGGAAACCTAGCTAATTAGGTAGCGTGTTCGCCAACTCCTCCTCCTAACCCGCCATTGAAAATTGGAAGCATCTTCTGCTACAGTATATTCGATTCTCCCTCTCCCTCGCCGCCGGCCGGCCGCCCGCCGCCGCTTCTCGATCGGAATCTCCTCTCCTCCGCGAGAAGTGGAAGAAGAAATTAGGTTGCCTTGGTTTAGGCCCATCTGCCTAATTCAAGTGGATCTTTTATGGGCCGCACAGTCTGGCCCATGTGCTTCTTCTTCTCTCTCTCGCTTCTACTTTGTCCCGGATTGAAGACTTCATTCTCACTAAAAAAATGAAATGAAAGAAATAAAGAGCAACTACTACACTAGCAACAGAAATATCGGATGATGAGAACTGAGAAGAGAGCATACACTTTTTTGTTTTCATATCTGAGTTAATTGTACTGTTTTTCCCGTTTGGTTTGCTGATGATATCTATAGTGGGTGAGAAGTTGAGGGTGCTTGCCTAATTTCCACCAAACTGGCCTTTCTTTTGTTCCAACTTATCAATAACGGTTGGCCACATGCATACATACAGAACAGCTAGCTAGCTAATATATATATGTGCATTGCATAGTTATAGTTAAAAGGGAAAAGGGAAAAAGGGAAAGGTAGCAAAGCATGATACCTAGCTAGATCAATCGATCGATCGATATATCCATAAGGCATCAGCCTAGCTAACTGTCTGGAGATGCCTAAGCTAGATAGCTACATATATACTGTAATGCACTATCCATTATATTGCACCGTAATTATATACTATAAGATGAGCTTTTCATATGCGTCGATTAGTCGTGTATGCACAGAAATGAAATGTTATAGTGCGTACTAGCTACAAAATTATTAAAGATGCATATATATAAGCCTGCACTCGATCAGCACTCCGGCCTACTACATGTTTTTGTGGTACGTAAGTGCGTCGCTGTCAAATAAAGATCGATCTAGATCTGCTATCTCTTCTAGTAAGTTGTACGTATCTATCGATCGATCCATCAAGGAACACTAAATAAAATGGTGTTTCTTATGGCCGATTAATTAGAGCTGATGTTTCTTATGGCCGATTAAAATGGACGGTCTGTATAGCTAGAGCCTCGAGATAAAGTATATAGCTTCCCACTTGCATCTAGCTAATTATGAAATTAAGTCAGTCCCAGATCATGCATGAAACAAACGTACACAGACTCTACCTGGAGATCATATATATAATATAGATATATACTATATATATGCACGTACTAACCAGCTGAATCTATTCTTTCCCATGTTTCTTTCTTTCTTTAATTCAGTTTTCTTTCATCAAATTAATAAAGTTAATTAGTGACCTGGTCAAGGCTATGGTACGTTCAGTAAAGCTGCTTTACCAATACCCGGAACCTAGATATGTGCATCGTATACACACGATAATTGTTGGGACCAAATGTCATGAAGAAAATGGGGATAGCTAGCTAGGCCGGAAAATACTCTTCTCCCTGTTTATCCATAAGATAAAAGTGAACCCGAGGAGTATTCATTGGTACTCATCGCTACTGTCTCGGTAAAAATATAATCTGGTCTTGCTACAGAATCCAGATGGCTTTTATATAGCCTTTCAAAGATATAATAGTATATATCTATATTATTATATAGCCCTTCAAATCTCAGTAAAAATATAATTCTGCACATTAGGACGACTCTCTGGACCTCTAGCTAGTATCAGCGTGTAGAAATGGTTGGAGTTGTCCCCCTGCACCTACTAATGGAATATTACCGCCGGGCCACGTAGCTATATATCAGGCCTCCTCCTCAGCCTGGCAAGTTCTATTTGCCCTCCTATAGCAAGCTCAAATCCCTTCTTTCTATAAAGTTAAGGTCAAAAGCTTAAACCTCGTGCTTCCACGTCATCATCAAATTATGAACCGTTGGATGAATACATTAGATCGCTTCTCAGACGTTCGATGGAATGCAGCATAGAGCCCAACCCATGCCATTAGCCACCGGATGAGTCTCTTCGCCTCCTCAGTGCCAAATGTGGCCCACATGAACACATTGGCCCATCTCCACACACATCTACATGTATCCAGCCCATCAATCCGCATAAAAGAACTTTATGGCTGAACACGTCTTCAGTTGATATGTGCTACCTAAATTATCTATAAATTTTGGATAGGGTTGCTAAAAAAAATTTCTCCAAAAAAGCTATTTGTTTCTGCCGTTTCTTCTTAAGATTGTACCTACTATGTAACAAATGTGCGGGGCATTCTCTAGTAATATATGATGGGTAAACACCCAGACTCGAATAGGATTTGATGGGTAAACACAACTTTCTCTTGAACAACTTCTCTTTTGCCTTCATCTAAACCTGCTAGGGAAACTTCAAGAAGTATTAGCCGTTGGTTAAGAGTAGCTCGATGTCGTGTTTTGGTCGAATACGTGAGGTGTGGCGTCTAGCCTCTGCTACAATAATAATATATTGTACTCCTTAAATATAAGAGATTTTGGATGAATGAAATATATCCTAATACTACTATTACTATGAATCTATACACTGTAAAAATTCATAGTACAAGGATAGTTTGCCGGCCCTTCCAAAGCCAGCTTGCTAGTCTACATCAAATTGAGGGGAAATGTACAGAATCTGACTCAATGAAATGTGTTTAATAGTGAGTAAAATCTACACCTCCCAATAACACACTTGCGTGGAATAAAGGGATCGTATTTTTTTCCAGGATTTGGTTCTGATGTCAGCATATCAATGCGCCATTGCTAGCTAGTAGAATATATGCCGTTTACCCTGGAACTGATCTCTTTTGTGGTACGACGTGCAATACTATAATCTCTCTAAAACTTAATTAACAGGGTAACCTTTCTTTTCATACGGCAAACTTGTGCGAATAAATGATGAAAATGGAGGAGGGACCTATGCATTCTATACTCTCTTTTTTTTTCATAACTTATTACTCCCTCCATCCCTAAATATTTAACACCGTTAACTTTTTTAAACATGTTTGACCGTTCGTCTTATTAAAAAAATTAAGTAATTATTAATTCTTTTCCTATCATTTGATTCATTGTTAAATATACTTTTATATATACATATAGTTTTACATATTTCACAAAAGTTTTTTAATAAGATGAACGGTCAAACATGTTTAAAAATTAACGGCGTTAAATATTTAGGGGCGGAGGGAGTAATTAATTGCATCATTCGTGGCTCATCTCATAGCATGCATACTGCATACTATATACTAGTACGACCACATATGTCGAAATTAAAGCGGTTGCAACTTCCCTGAAAGCCATGGGATGAAAGCTACTGGTAGCACAGCATGAAGAAGAAGACAGGAACAGGAGGGGAGCACTTTTTGTTTGAGGCAGACAAGACGCATCGTTTTCATGCTGCAACCTCCTATCAATCGATCTCTCAATGCACGCGCGCGTGTACTAGTGTTATCCATGTTTCTATGTGGTTTCATGTAAGTAATCTGCGTCTATTTTTTTCTCTTCTTGGCATGCAGTTGTACTGCTACTAGTGTGGTAGTATGATTGATTCAAACACATGCATGGTGCCACGGGAAGAAAACTAGAGATGTCGTGTCACCTTTTTTTAAAATGGGGAAAAGCAGAAATTTAACATCGGTCGGTCGGTGTGTGTATCGTGCGTGCATGAATGAATGATGTGTATAAGCAAGAAATTAAGCATGCAGTGGATGGATGGATCATCATGCTGAATTTGGTATTTGCAACCTATAGCTCGCAAGTTAATTAAAGTCATGCGCGCGACTTCAGAAGAAGATCGGATCGAGCAAATTAGAGCACGAGTTATGGAATCTTCACGTGCATCCTAGCTAGTCCTTCGTGTTGATTGGTCTGTTGTTGTTTGATTTGAATACCATCTCGATCGATCACCAATTATGTACGTACGTATGACTAACAAAATCACCCGGCCGGCCGGTCACCATGTACGACGACACCACCCCACGTACGCCAGGTAGCTATAGCAGCTATTGACCAATGACCGATGACTAAAATTTTGTGCACTTACTTTAATACAAAATTGACAGTTAGACTTTAAGTGATTTTGATTAAATTTTAGCTTAAACGTCAAGCATATATAACCAGAGGGACTATATATTATCAACAAGATACATGTAGACACCTAGCCATGTAAGAGAACATGTGCATGCTATATTCATATATATGTCCATTATTTTCTTCGACAAAAATTGGACGAAGATTAAGATTTTCGTGGCACACTTTTTAAACTGCTAAACGGTGTGTTTCGTGCGAAAACTTTCTATATGAAAGTTGCTCTAAAATATCGTATTAATCTATTTTCAAGTTTGCAGTAATTAAAACTTAATTAATCATACGTTAATACCACCTCGTTTTACATAAAAAAACATAATCTTTATATTTATCTTTAGGAGAAAAGAACACCACCTATGGTAGTATAATTGCCCCACAAAATACACTGTATTATAAACTGTCTTTTCTTTCCCACTGAGCTAGTAGCTCGCAGGAGATGTCGGTCACTCCATAAGTTTTAATCCTTTTTATTTTTACACGAGTTAAAAAAGACACGTTAGTACAAAAAATGAAGGATTCCGATCACGGGCCACACGTGACAATTGATTTTCACTAAAAAAAAGACCTTTTACGAGGCCTGTCCTATTTTTATTGATGGCCCTCTTAGAATCCCACCTAATAAATTCTAATTTTCACAGAGAACACCCAAAAAATATTGCCTGCACACTAGAACCGCATTAAAATAGAGCGCCGCACAGTCAAATACACCAAGTCCTTCCTTGCTAGCTCTCACTCCCTCCTTTTCTCTCCCCTCTCTTGACCATAATGGCACCTCCTCCTTTCTCCAGCTTCCCACCTCCGAAACGATGCTACCAGCCTTCCTTCACGCTGTCCTCCTCCGCTCTAGTCTTCCTCTTTTGTTGCCCTCGTTTGCTGCAGAGGATTGGTGGCCACCACGGGTCATACAACACGGTTCAACGGTAATGTGCCAGGGAAGATCAGATCTAGCGGCTGTTAATGACCAAATTTGGTAAATTCTATCACTATTGGCGTTGAAGGTGGAAATCAGATCGAGGTGGAATCCAAGATGAAGATCGTTGCGGAAACAGAGTAAGAATCGACTGTAGTCCAAATCGGCTAAGGTCAGGTTGGCAGAGTTCGAGTCGGGCGGG